TAAGCTAGACTGTTAGACAATAACCCAGGCGATCATAAAATTCTCTTCTTACATTCGCTAGTTGGTAAACTGAAATTCTATTGCATTCGGCAGAAATAGCATTTTTTAACTCGTCTAGACTTGGGTATTTTTTATCCTTGTATATCCTGTTTTTTAAATAGCCCCAGAGAAAGAAATCATTTGGCGAAATATCAGGAGACCTTGTTGGCCAATTTACTGTATGATTTAGGCCAATGACGTTTCCGTTAACACTATTGTCTAAATATTCCCGAACAGCCAGGGTACTATGTGCCGGGCAGCCATCCATTTGGTACCAAACTTCCTGATTTTCCCCAGCGGCATCATGTAAAGCAGGTAAAATATGATTTTCGAGTAGTTCCAAATGTGTTGGTTTTCTTTGTTCCAATATCGATAATTTTGAACATTGGGTTCATTATTTAAGGTAAACGTGCATTCGTGAGTGAAACATATGTTTTTTAAAAATTCCCTATCCGTGTTTGCTCTTTCAATCATATCAAAACAAAACGCCTGCCGCCGTATTTCGTCCCCATCTCGTAGCTCTTGGTGCTTTTCATATTTGAAGGAATAGTATTTATGTCGTTTAAAAATTCGAAACACTGTAGTGTGATCTATTCCTATTTCATCCTCAAGTTTCCTTGTGCTGATCTTTCCATCGTTCTCCTCCACGCACAATAAAACTTCCAAGTCGATATCATTTCTTGCATCTTCTCTTTGTTCCTTCCTTGCTTCACATCTGCAGTTATTTATTAGGGTACCTTTGGTCTCAAATCTCTGGATATTCCTTGCGATTTTAGATTTTCCAGGTATTGGTCTATTCGGATACAGAGCAGCAAACATGTCCGACACCTTTTGATAACTATTTCCTTGATAATACCATTTAATCATCAATATTTTTTCTTTGGTAGTGTAATTCATGGCTAATATTTTCGATGTAGGTATGAGTTTTTAATAATAATAATAAAGCACTAAATAGATAAATTTCTGAAATGACAACTTCATTTGACAGTTATCTTTTACCTTGACTGGTGCTCATAAATAAATACAGGGCCATAAGAAAGGAGAAATATTTAAAAAGAAATCGATAACTCGTAAACTGGCTAATCAAAAATATCTAAAGTTATTCTTCTGAATGTGCGTTTTAGTGCTCTTCAATAAACCTAAATAAGAATTATTCTCTAAAATAATTAGAGAAGCTAATAATTGACCCCATTAAAATTTACTTGGGATTTCCTATGTCCCGCTCGACGATGCAACACCCGGTATACGGGAGCTATTATTATTATTATATTATTAAGCATAATATTGCTAAATGTATTAGTTATATTTTTTTTGTGTTATGTTTTTATAGGTATTTGTATCTTTAATTGAAAATGTTAAGTTTTTTTTCAAATTTAGTTAAGTTGGTTTCGCGGTTGGTTGATGTTGTTTAATGTCATTTTTAAGCTACCTATGTGTTTTTTTCTTTTTTTTTTTCGCTTGTGTTCATTATTTGTGTTCATGTTTATTTTATCATGACTTAATAATTTGATATTATTTTCATTTGAAATTTAATTTTTTATCGGTTTTGCTTTTAAGAACCATCCCTTGCTTGCTAATTGACGAACTCCACAATCATTGAACGAAAATATTTTAGTAATGCTCCGGAAACTCAAATTAATACCACCAATTAGGGTTCAGATTAGAGGTGTGTAGTTCGTGAACGAACTAGTTCCAATGAACTATTCCGACCCCGGAATGAAAGGAACTAGTTCCTGGTTTCTCAAAGAACTAGTTCCTCAGGACCTATTCCGGGATCGAGACTGTGACCGATATATCCCGATTGCGCGTATCCCGATTGTAGGCAGATTGTGTGGGGAGTGGGGAGTGCCAGCCATATGCCGTATGTTATCGGATCCGGACCTAAAGGAACTAGAGGAACTAAATAAAAGACTAGTTTACGTATGGATCAGCCAGCGCGATTGATGCTAGGCAGGTGTGGGGAGTGCCAGCCGTATGTTATCGGATTCGGACATAGAGGAACTATTAATAGACTAGTTCACGGGAATCTATTCAGTCGGCAGATCCGAGATATAATACAAGGCGACGACGATGGATTCGGCCTTGTCTATTGCCACAGCCGGCGCGGCGTAATTACCACAGGAAATTGTCGTGGATACTGTTTTTGATTTTTAGTTTGTTTTTTAAATATTTTATAGGAATGTTTCACTTTAGGTCCCTAAAATTAAGAAATATCTTATAAAACGAAGTAGATATTCTGAATTTTTGGACAAAAACAAAAAGCTTGAAGTGAGGAAAAATGCAATTTTTGACTGACTGACAACGAAACGCATTAGCAAGCAAGGGGGATGTCAATGTTAGTCAGGAACTATTGTGAACTAAAGACCTAGTTCAAGGAACTATTACTCTGGAGGAACTAGTTCCTCCCAAGGAACTAGAATTCCCACCTCTAGTTCAGATCTTTTTGGCCATCACGAGAACCGGGCCTCGGTAACAATAATTAAAAAAATATTTTTCTGTTACTTTAGGAAGTCCTTTGATACTTTTTAGCGGTCGAAATCAAACTCTTCTAAATAACTAATGGTGCTATTTGTTATTGTTCCTGTTTCTTTTCTTTTTTGCAGTTGCTATAATATTGATTATGTTATGTTTTAATAGATATTTTCATTTTTAATTCAATATTTTTGGTTGTCTCAAATTCAGTTAAGTTGGTTTATGTTGCTTAATATGAAATTTAAGTTACCTATACTGCTTTCTTTACTTGTGTTCGTGTCTGTATAAGAGGCGCGGTACCGAAATTCGGTTTCGGAAACCCTACTAAATACCAAATTTCTTTTTATTATCTGAAAAAATAAAAAGTTATAGGGGTGAGCCACTTTTGAAAAACACCCGGTATAGTGAAATAACAGTACATTGTTAGTAAAATGGGAAATACACTTTTGAGAAACACGGTATGTGAACAAGTCGTGTCTGTGGTGCATAAGTTTATTGACACTTTAATTCTATAATTGTAATTAATTTTCTATTAATTACTTTCTTCGTTATTTGTGTTCCTATTTCCGGTTAATAAAAATGTTTCACCGATATATTCCATAACATGATTTGTTTAGATTTATGTTTAATTAAAATAAACTGTAATGTAAATATTAAATTATCACTATGTTTTTTACAAGATTCAATAAAGGAAACTACTTTTGAAAACAGTGTTTTATTTTAATTGATGATAATGTAATGATTTGAATTACGAGCCCTAACAACTAAATGTTCGGACAAACAAAAATTTATTAAAAATTTTTATTTTCATTAACTGAATTATTTACCTTTAAGAAATACATTAAAAATATATTAAAATCTAACATTTCTAATGAGTATTTAAATAGTTTAGTTTCTATAAACATTAAAATAAACTGTAGACCAATAAATAAACAAAAAAATTGCACAAAATCGTGACAACTAAATGTTCGGACACTTTAAAAAATAACTGTTCTAATATGGCGTTACATCGGCATGAACTTTTGCAACAACTGCAGGCCTGTTTGGCATTGTTTTTATTAATGGTTGACATACGCCAGAATAAAAATTTTGCCATAATTCACTTAATATCATCGTCAAATGGGCAACAGTTTCTTGGGGATCGTGGCACAAATTTTGGTTTGTTTTATGCCACATGTCTGGATAACATTAAGTTCCGGACTGTGCGAAGACCATGAGGGAACCTTGATGTTCATGTCCCTAAACCATTTTTTAGTAGTTTTAGCTGTATGTCATGCCCCGCCACCCTGTTGAAATATAAAATTATTGTCCTGGTCTTTACCAGAACAATTGGTTACAAGGACCTGTGTCCTTCCTATTTGACACAAGAATATTTTTCAAAATTTTTTAATTTTTTGACGCATCAATTATGCCTTCTACCACCTCATACTTTTCTGGGTCTATTTTGGACATACACCTTCAAATCATAATGCCTTTAGTAAATTTCACTGCCCTTTTGAGGCAATCTTTATCAAATAGACACTCTAGCGGTGTTCGATTATATTTATTATATCGATATTAAGGTGGCTCATGTGCCCATGTAATCCGTGCACTTGCCATTTGCGATTGGAATTATTAGCGTCGGATTGGGAAATAATTAATTTTTTTACCTTAATGTCATTTTTGTAGTTTGTGACATCAGAAGTTCCAATCCGACACTGATAATTCTAATCGCAAACTGCAAGTTCAAGGATTTATGAAAGATGTACAGTGGAATTTCCTAAAGACATTATGCTTTTAGAGTTTATGTCCGCAATGGGTCTAGGAAGGTATGAGGTCGTAGAAAGGCACAACTAATGTGTCAAAATATCAAGAAATTTTGAAAAACCGTTTTGTGCCAAGTGCGTGAGACCTTTACCAGAATATGAATTTTATTTTCCGACAGGATGGCGGGGCATGCCATATGGCTAAAACTACTTAAAAATGGTTTAGGGACATGAACATCAAGGTCCCCTCATGGCCTCGCACAGGTTGGACCTTAATGTTATCGAGACATGTGGCATAAAACAAAACAAAAATTGTGCCACGATCCCCAAGAAACCGTTGCCCATTTGATGATGATATTAAGTGAATTATGACAAAATTTTTACTCTGGCATATGTCAATCATTAATAAAAACAATGCCAAACAGGCATGCAGTAGTTTCAAAAGCTCATGCCGATGTAACGCCATATTAGAACAGTTATTTTTTAAAGTGTCCGAACATTTAGTTGTCAAAATATTGTGCAATATTTTTGTTTATTTATTGACCTACAGTTTATTTTAATGTTTATAGAAACCAAACTATTTATATACTCATTAGAAATGTTAGATTTTAATATATTTTTAATGTATTTCTTAAATGTAAATAATTCAGTTAATGAAAATAAAGGTTTTTAATAAATTTTTGTTTGTCCGAACATTTAGTTGTTAGGGCTCGTATTCTAATGTAAATATATTTTTAGGGCAAATAGTCGTCCATTAAGAAAAAATCTTCGATCTAGAGCAAAGTTAAATAGGAACAAAAAGAAAAACAATTTAGAATTATTGGACGTAATGAAATACAACAGCGATGACGATTATGTGGATCACGATGTTAAGTACCAATGTGAGAAATGTTGTCAAGAATTTACTACTAAGGCACTATTAAATAAACATAAGAAAAAATGCGACACAGAAAAAGTAAAAGGAACAACCAAAAATTCGGAAAATAGTATTGTAAAACTAGAATCCGGAAAGAAGCTGTATCTTTGTAAAAAATGTCCTATGGTATTTCCAATGTATAAACTACTAAGAGAACATCGAAAAGAACACATTCAAAAAGACTACGTCGAAGAACATTCTTACACGTTCGACGAACTGCAAGAGCTTTTTATTTGTAATACGTGTTCGGCAGAGTTTAAGGATGAGGATGAAGCGGAAAAACATACGAAAGCCCACGGCGAAATATTCGACTGTCCGCTGTGCGAGAATAAGTTTCAAACGTTATTCCAGTTGGGCAAACATTTGAAAGTCACTCACAACGACGACGATCAGTTTACGTGTCCGCTTTGTGCGGATCTTAAGTTTTCCAATGCTTCCTTATTTATGAAACACATCAACATCAAGCATCAGCAACGGTTTTCGCATAACTGTCAAACATGTGGTAGAGGATTTCATAGTAAAACTCTTTGCGAGGAGCACAGTAACGTGCATCTAGGTCTGAAACCTTTCTCTTGCGTAGTTTGCGGTGCTAAGTTCGCCTATTCCAAATCAGTAACCACTCATCAGTTGAAAGCTCACAGGGTAGAGATCCTTGGCAAGGACCATGCCACCGAATGTACTTACTGCAAAAATCGGTTTGTATCGATTGCTTCGTTGCAACGGCACATAAACCAAGCTCATGCTACACCGAAACCGAAAGAGAAGAGTCACCTGTGCGATATCTGCGGTAAGGGGTTTGCGAAGAGAAACAAAATGGTCGTCCATCAGAGGGTTCACACCGGAGACAAACCGTACGAGTGCAACTATTGCGACAAACGGTTCGCTAAGTCTGGCGAAAGGAACTGTCACCAGAGAATCCATACTGGGGAGCGGCCCTACAGTTGTGAATATTGCGGAAAGCGATTTAGGCAAACTGCGCCGTTCAAAGTGCATATCAGGACTCATACCGGTGAAAGACCTTATGTGTGCGATGTTTGTTTGAAAGGATATACTACGAATCAGGGACTGAGGCTCCATAGAAAAAACTGTGGTATAATTTTTCTTTAATTTTTATTATACAATTTGTATTTTTTTATAATTTTGTGTTAAATACTGAGATGCTAGAATATCATTGAATTATTAACTTAACATTTTCTATCAGATTGGCTATCAGATATTTTGGTGAAAGTTTGAATTACCCTGCGGAATATGTATATAGCAATGCAAGAAAATTAAAATCATTTTATCATCTAGGTGTGTCTTTTCTCGATTTGTTGATTCATTTTTATATCTTTATTTTTATTGGAGATACTCTATTCGCTTTCAAATAAGACATTAACGATCTACAGCAATGTCAATCCCCACAGTCAATCCGTTTGCCAAAAATCAGCATCAAACGTCAAGCAGTTTAAACAGAATCGTGATTACTCAGTGGTCATATTTTATGAAACACCCTGTATAAATTTATAAAAAATTAAAATATGTAAAACAACAAAATAAAATATACGTGTTTAAGAGTTTTTCCGAAAAACTCACCGGTTTTTGAATAAAAAATATTTAATATTTGAGGGATAGTTTCACCCCCTTAGAATTCGAGTTTCGAAAAATCTTATCGAACCTCTACACCCTAAAATCAATCTGTTTTCCAAAAATCAGCTTGTTACGTCAAGCGCTTTAAGCAGGATCGTGATTAATCAATGACCACATTTTTCGAAACACCCTGTATACATTTTTAAAAAATCTTAAAATATGTAAAAAACAAAATAAAATATACGTGTTTAAGCGTTTTTTCTGAAACTTGACCGTTTTTTAAATAAAAAATATTGTAATATTTGAGGGGTGGTTTCACCCTCTTAGAACTGGAATTTCGAAAAATCCCTTCTTATCGAACCTCTACACCCTAGAATTAACCTGTATGCCAAAATTGAGCTTCTTATGTTGAGTGGTTTGATCAGGATCGTGATTAATCAGTATGTCAGTCACTCACAGTTAGCCTCGGCCAAGATGTCAAGAAAAAAAAATATAAACTTTGAGTACTTTATTTTTTAAATGCCGATACCACTGGCTTCAAAAAAATATACAAATTAAAATCGCCGACGTACAATTGGGGTCTCTACACAAATTTAAAAAAAAACTTTTTCAACCAAAGTAAAAAGCGCGTAAAAAGTTTTGTTAATAATAAATAACGACTATCATCAGCAAAAGTTATGCTTACTGTTGCCCCCCTCCCTGTTTCTAAATCCAGGAGGTTGGGTCTCTGTACAAATTTAAATAAAAATAGACTTTAATCTAATGGAAAAAGCAAAAACATATTTTTTTTCTAATATTTTGGTGATAAAATTTTACTTTATGATCATAAGTATTAGTAAACAAGTAAAACTCCAAACTAGCAATTAAACACAAACTGAATTTAGACTAAAAAGGAAGAAAACAATTAGGTACTAGCTATAAGTAAATAAATAAATTTTAAACATGGTTACTGTAGTAGGAAGCAACACTCCTAAGGAGATTTTTTGATAGTTTTTTTATCTCGGATTTAAATTAAAGTTTTTTGAGAAAAACTTAAAAGAATGATGCACCTGCTCTGAGGCTTACTCAGAGTAAAAGCCCAATGCTTTCTGTGAAATACTAACAAAATCCCTATAATGGTGAACAACAGCGTGAATTTTTGGAGTAAAACTGATTTCCGTATCTCTTATTTTGTCGGAAAATTTTAGTATACAGGGTTGTTCACCACATACGACACGGAGTATTGTAGCTAAACGATGAGATTTTTACAAATTGTAAGTTTGGGGTTCGTTGAAGGACTATTAGAGTTACAATTTAAAAATATTTTTACAAGATACAGAGTGTCCCAAATAAATAAAAAATATCAAAGTTGTATTTTTTTAAATGGAACACCCTGTATATTATTACATTTTTAGTTTCTACGATTAAAATAAAGGTAAATTTGATTAAGGTTTCTTATACTTAAACCTTACCGTTTTTGAAATATTTTTAATTTTGTGAAATTGCAGTAAAAATTTTAAAGCTTCATTTCTCCAAGGGTATCAATGTTTTTAATACTAAATATTTAATGAATTCTAAATACAAAAAGACAATCTAAAATGTCAATATTCCATGGATATATTGATAAATGAGGTCTAAATTATAAGAAAATGCATTTTCTACGAAAACTTGAAGGAATAGGTAAAAAATGGTATAATACAATTTGATAGACAATTTAATTGTGCATCTGATTCTCCTAAAATATACAGGGCATTCTATTTAAATTAAAGAAGTTATTGCCGTTTGAAGCTAATAATTATTTAAAATAAATTTTTAGACACTCTGTATAAGGTAGTATTATTTTTATTATTGCAACACAATAACTGATCAGTAAATAAACTTCAGTAAATATTTAGTATTAAAAACTTTGATACCCTTGGAGAAATGAAGCCTTAAAATTTTTACTGCAATTTCACAAAACTGAAAATATTTCAAAAACGGTAAGGTTTAAGTATAATAAATCTTAATCAAATTTACCTTTATTTTAATCGTAGAAACTAAAAATGTAATAATATATAGGGTGTTCCATTTAAAAAAATACAACTTTGATATTTTTTACTTATTTGGGACACTCTGTATCTTGTAAAATTATTTTTAAATTGTACCTCTAATAGTCCTTCATCGAACCCAAAACTTACAATTTGTAAAAATCTCATCGTTTAGCTACAATACTCCGTGTCGTATGTGGTGAACAACCCTGTATAGGCTTCGTAATTGGTATCAATATATTTTCCAAAACAGCTGGCTACCACATCATTGAAGGCACAAAATACCTCTATGTATTTGTTGTCTAAAAAAAGTAAGCAAAGGGCTTAGTGTCCAAATAACAATAATAAAATAAAGTTTTGTTACAAAGTAAGTTAATTACAGTCATACCAGGATCTAGTGCTTAAGTCAACTTTTTTAAGCAAGTTTCTGGCATTATTTCCATTAAATCTGCTGTAATGGTCTAATTGTATCCCAGAACTTCTTAGCCAGCTTTCAGCAATTTTTATAAATGTTTTTAATTTTTGCTCAGACCTAGGTCTACCAACAACAGATTTTGTTATTGGACACACTGGTGATCGCGTATTGTTTACTTTAGTTCTGGGATTAGGCCTAAACCTGGCAACTTCACATATTTTACAGCTACATAAATTCTCCTTTCGTTGTATTCTGACCTTAAATTTTTTGTAGTCCACAATTTTAGTCAGTTTTTATTTATTTAATTTTGTATAGCAGCTGCCACACACAACATTACGCAAGCAATTGTCATCAATGCTGTAATTTGGCGATATATCCATTATTAAACCAAACAATTTACCTGTAATTTTAACATGTAGCATTGTTAAAACATGTATAACATACAGCAGATCGCCACTCTTTATGGGACCGTTTTTGACAAAATGTAACATTAGCAAACTCGTCTACATTTTCATTAGATTTTGATTCTGACATCACAAAAAAATAAAAAATTGTCCACATTAACATATAAGCAGACGATGCAAAACTAAATAAAACTGAACTTTTGACAGAAAACTGTGTAGTCAACTGTTTCGTGCCAATTTGTTTACGTTTGGCCGCATAGCCTACTTTGGTTAATATCTTTAATTTTCACACTAAAAGTAAAATATTATATAAAAATTGAAGAATAGACCTAAAATAAGTATTAAAAATCTATTCAATTTATTCACCAGTGTGTTCCTTTCAAACTAATTACAAGAAATAACTTTTTTTGCTTTTGCCACTGGATAAAAAATTATATATTTTTTAAAGTTGTGTGAAGACCCAATCTCTTATTTTCAAAAAAAGGGGGGCAACAGGTTCGTTTAGGTGATAATGGTCCTTGAATATTCTTACCAAAACTTGTGCGCAGCTTTTAATATTGATTAAAAAAGTATATTTTTTGAAATTTGTGTAGAGACCCCAATTGTACGTCGGCGATTTTCATTTTAATATTTTTTTAAACCCAGAGGTATGAGCATTTAAAAAATATAACACTCAAACTTTATATATTTTTTTCTTGACATCTTGGCCCAGGCTAACTGTGCACTTAAGGATTTTATACCTATATTAGTATAGATTGTTTTTATCCGCTGCCTGGTTGCCGCCTGTTTACAAAGAAACGCTGCTTTAAACATTTTTCATAAAAATATATGAAAATCTGACTTAAGTCTTTTATAAAAAGACTTAAATCTTTTTAATGATTTATTAAAAAGTCTTTTTTTAAGTTATTTAAGTATTTTCTAAAAAGACTTAAATGTTTTTAATGTTTTAAGTCTTTTCTAAAATGACTTAAATCTTTTTCTATTTTCAATTATTGAACTATTTAAATCACAAATCGTTTTGAAAAAGACTTGAATTTTAAATCTCAAGCCAGTTTTCGAAAAATTACTTAAGTCATTAAAATTACTTTAATCAAAAAAAGACTTTGAGCGCTGTTTCGATAGTTCTGTTTCGGTGGACCCCCTGCTGCTACATTTTTACTATATTCGCAAAACTCTTCAAAAATGTCATTAGATCAGACGATGGAATTTTTGCGTATTGCTGTGGGCATCTGTGGGTCCACGTTGGAAGTCGCTACCGGCAACTGACTATCCAGTCGATACAACGTTGCACCAATGAGTTCTGATTGCTTTGGTTTTAGCCTTTTTTCGTAATTCTCTGTTTTATATTTCAATGCTAATTTGATTGATTTGAATGTCTTGATTTTAAATTTGAATATCTCGTGTCAAATTTTCAATCAGCTGATGTATCGATTCCTTTCCAGATAGTCAGTTACTGGCAGCGACTAGAAGTTTGTGGCTTTGACACTTTAAATTGCTTCACAGCCAAAGTCAAAAAGTATTTGTTTTCCTGCGCAATAAAATCAGTAATCTAGTATCTCATCGGTATCTAATAATGCACACTGTGGTAGTTATAGTTATTTCTATTTTTAACTATAAAGAAAATAGTTTGTATATTAGGAATGTAGCCCAGTAAATTTATTACTGAAATGTACCTTTATACTTATTAAACGATCTTATATTGCACTTGTTTTTTGTAGTAATATTATTTTTATTGTACATTTTTTGTATTTACAAAATATACTGTTTCCATTGAGGATACAAAGAAGGAAATATGAATACATTTTTTTTGCAAGTTTACCTTTTTTCTATTTTCTACCTCTTTTTAATTTTGAAATAAATATATTTCAAAATTAATAACCTAATGCCATAGGATTGAAAAAATGCCAACAACTTCAACTACTTCAAATAATAAAGTCATTTTGAAAAAGCATTTAAAACATAAAAAAACGCTGCAAAGACCATCAAAATGTTGATCTAATAACAATTTGACGTTTATACTATTACGCGAAAAGCAACTTTTTTGCAAAGCCTACCATGATTTCACTGAATCATCGTTTCTTGTTCACTATAGTCTGTCCAACGAGAAGATCCGTGACAGTGATAGATGTGTCTGTCATTTTATTTTCAAAGTAGTTTATTTTATTTTACAAAGAAATAAGTTGGTACAACTGGAACACATTTTAGCAGGAAATTAATATATTCAAAATTTGACTGACAAGACAAGTGATTAGGTACTTCAAAATATTGTGAAAAAACTGTATAAAATTGAAAAAATGTAATCGAGTTATTTTATTTAACAAAAAAACGGTGTGTTAATACAAAACAAACAAGAACAAGACACCACATACCAAAAAAATGCTTCCAAGCTTCATGAAACTTCCGGCATTTATGATTATATTTATCAATATAACTTATGTACAAATACAAATTTGGAATTTGTAATATTCCACAGGAATAAATAAAACAACATAAATAAAACAAACTATTTTATTAATAATAACACTTACCAAATTTTATACCTTAAAGGTTGATTAATTAACTTTAATCTTAATTTTTTTAAACCAGTACCTTTTGACATTATTTTTCTGCAGTACTAAAATCCATTATTTACCTATTGTGTGATGTCGATATTTTACAGCTACTCCAGTTTTTAGTATGTGTTTAGTATGATCCTTCTACCATATACGAGATGCATTTATCTACGACGAAATGGTATACAAACTTTATTGATGGTAACTTTATTGGTGTATAAGACTTTCTGCCTGGGCAGCGAGTATTAACCATAAACTGTGCTCTGGGTCTACAGTTAATTTTCACTCGATTTTTCCTCCACTTGACTTCAAAAGACACAAAACACACGTAATAACACGAATCAAAATGCATCATCTTCCAAAACGCAGTATTTGACTAAAAGTTGACACAAAATTCTAACCTATAATTTGGCAAGACTTTGACAAACGTCAAAAATCTAAAGGCGAGTTCATACGCATCGGCGTCCGTTTGTCGTTTATCGTTCCGTCAAACCAATAAAATTGAAATACGATCTGTCATTTTTGAAATAAACCAATAAAACTGGTTAAAAATAACAAGAGACGACGCATGACGAATTTATAATTAAACTCATCCATAGTTAACTTAAAAATTATTAGAAACTTTTTTTAGTAAAATAAATAGATTGGTATGGGACGTCATCTGCTTTTCTTCTGTCATCGTCTGTCGAAATCTTACCTGAGAAAAAAAACAGAGTATATTATTAATATCTTAATTATTAAATTTTAATACATCTGGTATTATGGTATTCTGGTATTTCGTCGTTTTTAAAATAAACTAACTGTTTCTATCTTATTTTTTTGTTAGAATGGGCCTAATCAAGAGAGCTACTGATACCGTGTTGTAAAAATAAGGTAATTGAGGACTTATTTTTTGGTATTTATTATAATTTTGCTAATATCTTCGGTTTGAAAGAAGATATCAAGATACGGTTTTCGCTGACTTTTTAAGCTTTTAGTACTCTTTACTGTCAGCTAAAATAACACATAATCGCGCTATGTTTGTTAAATTGTAAGAAAGCGCTGCCTAGCGTCTACGTTCAAAACCGTATTATTATTATTATTATGGTATAATATAGTTTTTTTACCACGCTGTCTAATACACATACAAAATTCAGTTTTTTAGTATCTGGAGCAATTATTATTAATCAACGCACACAGTCAATCAATGTAGTTTGAATACTGGAATCATATTAATTGGTCCTCTTTAACAAATATTTAAACAGTTTTGTTTATTTTTTAATGAAATAAACAAACTACATCGACAATATTAGTATCTGTACTCTTTAAAAATTTGGTACATCTTTAAAAATAATTTAAAATGTTAGTATTCCATGGGTATATTGATAAATGAGTTTTAAATTACAAGAAAATGAATTTTCTACGGAAACTTGAAGAGGTAGGTAAAAAATGGTATAATACAATTTGATAGACAATTAAATTGTGCATCTGATTCTCATAAAATATACAGGGTGTTCCATTTAAATTAAACAAGTTATTGCCGCTTAAAGCTAGTCATTATTTAAAATAAAATTTTAGACACTCTGTATAAGGTAGTATAATTTTTATTATTGCAACACAATAACTGGTCAATAAGTAAACTTCAGTAAATATTTAGTATTAAATACTTTGATACCCTTGGAAGCCTTAAAATTTTGACTGCAATTTCACAAAATTGAAAATATTTCAAAAACGGCAGGGTTTAAGTGTAATAAACCTTAATCAAATTTACCTTTATTTTAATCGTAGAAACTAAAAATGTAATAATATACAGGGTGTTCCATTTAAATAAATACAACTTTGATATTTTTTATTTATTTAGGACACTCTGTATCTTGTAAAAATATTTTTAAATTGTAGCTCTATTAGTCCTTCAACGAACCCAAAACTTACAATTTTTAAAAATCTAATCGTTTAGCTACAATACCCCGTGTCGTATGTGGTGAACAACTCTGTATATTTATAATTAATTTATTTTTGTTTCCTAAAATATTTTGATTAAAAGAAAATATGTAAAAGTGTGCAACGCCGCGCCGTGCCGGCCAAGCTTAAGCTACATTCTAAATCAATTCGCTGGCCGAGTCGTACTTTGGCACGCAAGCTTATCTTATGTACTTCAGTGTACTCATTCACAACAAAATTCGACGCCAGAGTGCAAGTTGAAGTTGGATTGAAAGCTTGCAAGCTGCAAACTTCCACTTCAGCACGGAATTTTCGTTTGACAATTATGACAAATTTGACATTTAAATTTTAATAATTATTTTGTTTGTGTCGTTGTTACAAGCCATTTTCCTGTGAAAAGTAAATAATTATTAAAAGAAAAATGAGTGAAGGACGCTATTCTTATCTTATTAGGACTTGTGGCTTTGCTGTTAAAAAAACGGCAATTATTGTTGCAGCTCAATAATTAGCTTGACCGAAAACCAAGGGGTTTACCAAAACCCAAAAAATGGGGTGTCCGACCCATATTAATGACGAGAAAAAGTTTTTTAGAAAAAAAAACATTTTAGAAAAAAATCATCAATAAATGACGTTTTTGTTTCCATTTTTCTAAACATAAAAACTTTGAAAACTTAATTAACAACTGTCCCGGATTTTGACTCTTCCAAAATCAAAACCAACAACTAACCTAAAAAATGTCAGGAGAACGTTTAAACACGCATGCGCAAAATTCGAATTGAAATTTGTTGGGAATGGTTAATTTCGTGCCGACTTAACCGTCGAAGTGCCACTCGGCCAGCGAATTGATTTCGAATGTAGCTTTACTCACGCGACTAAAAGTTTATTTGATATGAACTATACGTATTTACTGTTGCTGTCCTGCTGCAGGGCCCTGTATATATTTATTAAAATAAGTAAGTAAAGATGTTTATTGTGGATTAATTATTATTGTAATGTGAATAAATTTTGTCCTCAATCATTTTTTTTTATTTATATTAGTGTGGTTTTAGGCATCCGAATATAGGAAATATGGTCGCCACCAGGAAATCTCCTAGAAAAAGAAAGCCAACAATAAAGTTCGAGGAAAACGATAGCGATTCAAATAATATTTCAGTAGATTTCAATGACATAAAGACTGAAATTAAAGACGAAGATTATGCACAAAATGTCCTAGAAAAAAGAAAAAGAAAATACAATACGAAAAAATCGTGGCCCTGTAAAAAATGCGCCGAAGTCTTCAAAACCATGAAGCTCTTACTAAAGCACCGTAAAGTTCACAACGAGTACCAAGAAAATCACAGTTTCAAATTCGATCCTGTACAGGACCTTTTCATTTGCACCACGTGTTCGGCAGAATTTCAACTCGAGGAGGAAGTGAAGAGTCACATAAAAAATAAACACGAAAACGAGTATAAATGTAAGAGTTGTGGCGAAGCTTTTAAGACGACTTACGATATTGCGTACCATTCCGCGGTGCACGATCCCGATCGTATCATGACCTGTCCTCTGTGTAGTTACAGGAGTCCTAAAAAGGGTTCGATATTGATTCACATTAATTACAAGCACTTGAGGAAGTTTTCTTATACGTGTGCCAAATGTGGAAAGGGATTTAATGACCATCTGATTTTCGAAGAGCACGAGAACGAACATTTGGGAGTTAAACCGTTCGTTTGCATTGTTTGCGAGAAAAGCTTTACCTACACTAGGTAAGTTGAGTTAATTATCACAATATACAGGGTGGTCCGAACTGTATTCCGGATTTTTTTTAGAATTTAGAATGAGTGGGAGGGGGGTTAATCACTGCGACCTTACAGATCTATTGTGTCCCCCTTTCTTGAGTCGTAACTCATCATACAGTCTAAGGGCTTTGACAAAAGCCAGTATCTGGGACGGTTTTATAGAGGGTAGTTCTCTAGTATTCCGGAAACTTCGACAGCATATTTTTCAGATAAAAATAAGTAAAAAAGTTCGTATAAATGTATGTCCTAAAATACTTAGTTTCGGAGATACAGGGTGTCGAAGTTTCATTTTTATTATTATTTTCCTCAAATAATTTCTGAAGTAATGTCAATATTTGGATGAAAATTGGTGTCTGGGAGTTTTTTTACATGAGAAATTTGATTTTGATGTCAATATGACTCCTACTTGTAGAGGGCGCCACCTACATATTTTTTAACTAATTTGAAGTGTAATAACTTTTCGTCCGTACCTGTATCAAACTACTGAGTAAAAAAATATACATTTACGATGTTTTCTACGTAAAAAAAGTCTCTTGCTAAAAATCGCTACGAGTAATGGTTCTCGAGATATTTGGAATCTAAATAATAATACCTGTCGTCATTGACATAAATTAAATATGTTGACTAAATAGTTATTAGAATGAAATCATAAATTTCAAATGTTTTAGCACCAAAAGTTCAATAGAAACTGTTTTATCATCATTTTTTCGAAGAAAAATTTATGATTAATTTAAAAAAATAAAAGTTCCCAAATTTATCATTTTAGTGAAATAACACGTTTATTTTTTGTCAAAAATGACTGTTCTCATTCGAAATATTTTGAGAACGGTTGATCGTAGCGATTTTTACCAAGAAACATTTTTTACGTAAAAAAACATGGAAATATATATTTTTGCACTCAGTAGTTTTATACAGGTACGGGTAAAAAGTTATTACACTTCAGAACAGATAAAATACATGTAGGTGGCGCCCCCTACAAATAGGAATCATATTGACATCAAAATCAAATTTCTCATGTCAAAGAACTTTCATCCAAATATTGACATTACTTCAGAAATTCTTTGGAAAAAATCGAAATAAAAATGAAACTTCTACACCTTGTATCTTCGAAACTAAGCATTTTAGGACATACATTTATACGAACTTTTTACATATTTTTATCTGCAGAATATGCTGTCAAAGTTTCCGGAATACAGTTCGAACCACCCTGTATATAGGATGAGTTTTCTACGATGTTCTCTATGGGTATCTCGGAAACTACGGGAGATAGAGATACAGTCGGTTAAATAGGGAAAGAATTGCCAGTTTTGTGGGGTCATAAATATGCGCCTTTCAGATTTTTGAAAAAGTTGATGGCTTACTAGATATTTCGAGGAAAACAAATTTCGGCTATTATAAAAATTGTCCCAATTCCATTATAATCTATCTTAGACAAAAAAAATTCGGATAAAAGTTGTAGATAATCACATCCTTAATGAGATTGAGTTCTTCGTTTTTTTTTCTAAAGCCTGGCATTTTTAACATATGACACAAACATATGTTTTTTTTTAATAGAAACAGTCGTCGTTACTCTCAGAAATGTGAAAGTGCCACATCCAAACTTTGTAAATTAAAATAAATAAAAATTGTAAATATGAATTTTTCAAATGAAGAAAGGCGTGTAGGAGTGTTGGTTCAGCTTTTTTTGGCCATACATTTTCGAGGATACGTTGACCGGTGAACGTTACTTACGTTTTTTAGATAACGGTTTTCAAGACATGTTAGAAAAGTTAAATTTAGAGACTCGCACATCAATAGAGTGGTTCCAACATGACTTTCATTGTGGCACAATTCGAAAAATGAAAGAAATTATTATATATATTTTATTATTTATTAATTATGCAATCTCGGGGATAGTGTCGCACCCCATTTTGTGATTGGCATAGCGGAATGAAACAAATTTAATTTTATAAACAATTTAATTAAATTATGAACAATAGGTACAACATTTCCTATAATAGAAGGGTAAATATGTACTTACATATACAGGGTTGTTCACCACATACGACACGGAGTATTGTAGCTAAACGATGAGATTTTTACAAATTGTAAGTTTGGGGTTCGTTGAAGGACTATTAGAGCTACAATTTAAAAATATTTTTACAAGATACAGAGTGTCCCAAATAAATAAGAAATATCAAAGTTGTATTTTTTTTAAATGGAACATCCTGTATATTATTACATTTTTAGTTTCTACGATTAAAATAAAGGTAAATTTGATTAAGGTTTATTATACTTAAACCTTACCGTTTTTGAAATATTTTCAATTTTGTGAAATTGCAGTAAAAATTTTAAAGTCTTATTTCTCCAAGGGTATCAATGTTTTTGATACTAAATATTTAATGAAGTTTATTTATTGATCAGTTATTGTGTTGCAATAATAAAAATAATACTACCTTATACAGAGTGTCTAAAAATTTATTTTAAATAATTATTAGCTTCAAACGGCAATAACTTCTTTAATTTAAATGAAATGCCCTGTATATTTTAGGAGAATCAGATGCACAATTAAATTGTCTATCAAGTTGTATTATACCATTTTTTACCTATCCCTTCAAGTTTTCGTAGAAAATGCATTTTCTTATAATTTAGACCTCATTTATCAATATATCCATGGAATATTGACATTTTAGATTGTTTTTAAAGCAACAAATGTACAAAATGTACAAACTAGTAATATTATCGTTTTTAGCAAAACGATAATATTACTAGCCCATTTGTATGCAAAAAGAAAACTATTTAAATCTTTATAAAAGAGTATACCATTAATTAAATATGACACCATTATTTCCGCCCATATACTAATTAATGACATACTTAATTGTGTTCGTTAATAAATTATTATAAATAAATGTGGATTTTTGAGTCAGAAATCAATATAATAATAAGTTACCAAATTAAAGTCTTTGTTGTTATAAATAAGCATTTATTAAAAAATGAAATATCATTTTTAAGGTGTTACTTTTTATCACACTGTCTAATGCCCATACAAAATTCAGTTTTTTTTAAATTTTTTATAAAATTGAATACCTTTATTTTAATCGTAGACATTTTTAGTTAAAAATGTAATAATATACAGGGTGTTCGATTTAAAAAAATACAACTTTGGTATTTTTTACTTATTTGGGACACTCTGTATCTTGTAAAATTATTTTTAAATTGTACCTCTAATAGTCCTTCATCGAACCCAAAACTTACAATTTGTAAAAATCTCATCGTTTAGCTACAATACTCCGTGTCGTATATGGTGAACAACCCTGTATATATATGTATAGACGAACATCATCATCACTAGCTCGTGGGTAGTGTCACAGGGCTTCGAATGTCAATGCCAGAGTCTCGACCGCGACCCTCTTGAACATCAACTATCGACTGTCCTCCCAACAGCATTTTCGTCAATTTTGTATTTTCAATTCGATGTCGGGAATCATCAAATCAGCATTATTGGTCTATCGATGTGATGACCGCGTTAATGCTGATTTGATGATTTTATAAATTCATAATATTGAAAGGAAATATTTTTCGCAATTGCCAATTGTACTTATAATTTTGATTTTGAAAAGTTTACTTTTGTTGCGTAAACTCGATTTGCCAATGAACTTTAAACATTTTATATTTCCTTTCAATCGAATTATTAATTTACGAAATATATTTATTAACCTATTTTATATAACTAATAATTCCTTCCTTGACAATAGGAAAAGGTGGACCAATTGCATGGGCCTCCTCGATCACCTAACCTATCAATTTTAGATTTTTTTTATGCGGTATGGTTAACAACAAGGTTTACAAAAGAACTTATGAATTAAGAGAGGCACTCGAAGAGGCGGTACTTAGTGAAACCAATGTCAACTTAGTAAAATTAGTCAAGAAACATAAGAATTGGCTATAACTCAGTAATTTTTCGAAAAAAGAACTGGCGCTTTTTAGTCATGGCCAACTATGGTTTCCATTTAAAAAACATATGTTTGTGTCATATGTCAAAAGACAGGCTTTAGAAAAAATCGAAGAACACACTATGGATGTGATTATCTACAACTTTCATCTGAAAACTTTTTGTCTAAAATAGATTATAATGGAATTAGGGACGATTTTTAAAATATCCAAAATTTTTTTTTCGAAATATCTAGTAAGCCATGAACTTTTTTAAAAAAATATTTTTAAAATTTGGAACCAACCTTGGACGCGTCATTTGGTCTATGCTTCGACAATAATGCAATTCACAAGTAGTGTGTCTCCTTCACGATATGGCAAATGTTCATTTGTCCAACGTTGGAAGGTGTTTGATACATCTTGTGGGACCGGCTTTACGAAAATAAGTATAGAGTATACCGTGCATCTCAAAAGTGGCTCACCCCTATAACTTTTTTATTTTTTCAGATAAAATAACGAGATTAGGTACGTATATGACATTAATTATTGATTGATTGTTTTCGGTCACTTCCTGTTCCACCGGAAATGACTACAACTTTTGATTCTTAAATGGCACCCTCGGTATTTTTTTACTTTATTCGATAAAAAATGGCACTCTGAATAGAATGACGTATCACATGTCAACTTTTGACATTTTCGCATATTGTTTATTTAAAATTGTAACATGCGGTTCATAACGTCATTTTGACTCGCAATACCAAGTGTATGGTATCAAATTATTTGTAGAAAAATGCTTTCTCCAAATATACTAATGAGCCACCCTCGTTCCATTTGAAAAAATTGAGATATGCTTAAAAATACGATTTGTGCATCTTTTAACCGGCCAAGATAAGACACGAAAAACATTAGACGATCAAATCTATTTTTCCAAGGCTCCTTGATTAAAAATTTAAGTGTTTTTAATGGCACCTTAGATTGATATTTAAAATCCTTTTTTTTAAGGGAGAATGTCAAAAGTTAACATATGATATGTCCATAGATAAAAGAAAATAATCTTCTATTAAGATAGATATGAAACTTAATAGTAAAATTTTGGGTCAAAGCGCCCCTCCGTGTTCTTAGTAGAGATTACGTTTAACCCAGCGCCTTCGCCTTTTCTGCTATAAATATTTTTTATGTTTATATTTGATTTCAAAGGATTTAGTTTTAAAGTTACACTGATATATTAGTATATCAGAGTAACTTTAATAAAACATAAGAATATATATATTTTACAGTTTATTAAATATAAATTTTGACTACAAGGTAGAAAGTAAATCACAATATTTGATAAAGCTTATAAAGTATACCATTTTTACAGTTAATAAATAATAAAACTATTTCTGACTATGATATTTAAAATTTAGATAGATAGAATATTAAAAAACATACCGGTATTTGCAGACGCAGACCGAAATTCAATAAAAACCAAAATTTTTCCTGCGAAAATCGGGCATTTTTCACAGAAAAGGTATTTTTTGATTTATCAACAATCATTGTCAAGTTGACAATATACAGGGTGTTTTCTAATTAGTCTAAAAAATTGTGGTGTGATTCCTCATGTGTTCTTAAAACAATTTTTATATAACCATTGGGTTTAAAGTACTTCCTTTCTGATCTACAGGGTGTTAAAAATTAAAAAAATCGATATTTTGCTTAAAATAAATGGTACACTACTGCTTTTTTAAAGAAAATATATTTTTTTCTTGACTGGTCATCCTTTTTCAACACAATTGATCTTTTGAGTTTTTGTTGTTCATCAAACGGTAGCCGAGAAAAAAATAAATATACTTATTAAGAGCCCGCCTTAAGCCGTTTTCTAACGATCTTTTATTTTTTAGATTAATTAGGAAACACCCTGTATATGCATATCACAGGCAACCAAATAAACTAGTAACCTCTAAAAATTATTTTTCCTACCACTAGCGACATACCGTGTTTTTAGTGAGTACTAAATTATTTTATCAAAATTTCACCATATAAGTTTCCAGGCAATGGATATGTCATTCCATTCAGAGTGTCATTTTCTATCGAATAAAGTAAAAATATACCGAGGATGCCATTTAAAAATCGCAAGTTGTAGTCAATTCCGGTGAAACAGGAAGCGACCAAAACCAACTGAATACCCTCAATCAATTCTAATTTGTGTCATACACTAACATACCAAATATCGTTTTTTTATTTGAAAAAATAAAAAAGTGATAGGGTTAATCGACTTTTGAAGGTATATATTTTTAGAAAGCTCATAACGAGGCAGATAAAATAAAAAATAATATACAGGGTGTCCCTTTTAAAAATAAACATAAGTTTGAGTCTTATTTCGAAAATGACAGCTTCCAGCCAAAAACTAATTACGTCACTGGATTCGACGTGAAAAACTCTACGGAACTCAGTTTTTATTTTTTCGATAAATTATAAAACAACAAAGATATACCTATGAGGGGGTCAAAAAATGCGACATTTTAAAATTCGTCCTGTATTTCAGGAACTAAGAAGAATATGATTCAATTTGTGTGAAGCGTCCTTAAGCTTCATTCAGAACTTCGCAATTAGTGGAATAAATTAGTAGTTTCAATTACACTTTATACATTTTAGTTTACGATCATTCATAATGTCTAAAAAACACAATTAAAATTAATAGAATAATCTAGCAACATCTTGCTGTAATCAGTTGTATCCATAGAGAAAGCCTAATATTTAGCTTATAAAACAATAAACTTTTGATTTCTAAACACATTTTTCTTTTGACAGATGAAAATCAAACGCCAAAATTCCTCGGAAATTTTGAAGTATAATTAGTGGAAAAGTTCAAAGTTTGTTAACTTCTTCCACTAATTGAAAATTCCTACTACTAACTTTGACGTTCTGAATGCTTACATTCAAACTAGAGAAACAAACTTCTACGCTAATTGAAACCACTAATTTGTTCCACTAATTGCGTGGTTCTGAAAGTTCATAAAAAGTAGCACGTTTTTTTTCTACTTTTTAGATATCTATATACGCATCAAGTTCGCACGCATAGAGCTGGTATCGATGGCCAACTGCTCCCAAATCAGTGTATGTATTGCAATCGAAATTACAGCAAACCCGAATCTTTAGAAAAGCACATGCTCGAGACGCATTTGAAGACCGGCCCTCACGAGAAGAAGCATTTATGCGTCACATGCGGCAAAGGGTTTTCCCAGAAGAGTAAGCTGGTTATTCACGAAAGGATTCATACGGGTTACAAACCTTACGCTTGTGGACATTGCACGAAAAGATTTATTAAAAAGGACTATTTGGTATTGCACGAGAGAACTCACAGCGGCGAGAAACCCTTCTCCTGTGAGTATTGCGGGAAGCGCTTTACTCAGGGAGCACCGTTGCGAATCCATCTGCGAACACATACCGGGGAGAAGCCCTACGAATGCACACACTGCAAGATGAGATTCGGTTTAAGCTCCCAGTTAAAAGTTCACAAAAACTGTTTGGGTGTTGCCGAGTATAATAAATAGTTTTTTTTTTCAATAAGTTGCATTTGGGATATTAAAAAACTGTTAATCGAACCGAAATGAAATATCTTTAATATTTTTAAAGAATGTATATCATCATTATTTTCAGCTTGTTCAACCATTTTCATTATGGTGTCCCTCGCATATTTAGATAATCCCTTTGTAGTTGGCCCCATTGTTGTTTATTGTTGCACTGAAAAAAAGGATCTCTCAGTCGAAATGAATATAACTTTGACCCAAAAGATTGGCGCTTTTCAATAGGGCCAAGAACGATGTTTCTTTGCCCAAAGCATTAACTGTCTTTTCATAAGATTTAAAAAATTACTTTAGAGAATAGAAGAATCTATCTGTCCAAAGTATTTCACTCTTGACCCAAAATGAATATGCAAAGAAGTTCTTGCTACAAGAACAATAGTCTCTTTAATTCATGCAAAAATTCTTGATTGAAAAGGGACATTTCTTGATTAAAGAGACACTTTTCTTAAACAAATAGCGAATACTATTGACTCAACTAAAATTTATTTTGATCTAAGAGAAGTCTATACATCATATACAGGCATATTACGAGGTATATTATTTTCTGATAAATTTAGGTTTTCCTGGTCTGTAGTAAGTAAAGTGATATTATTTTCCTCGATAGTAGTTATTTCTGCTTCTTCACTCCTTGGTATTTTTTGGGGTGGTTCATCACTCTACAAATTACAAAGAAATGTTACATCACGATTAATCAAAGTAAAGCAAATAAATTAATAAAATTATAAGTTTTGGTCACATTTTGAATTTTTTAATACGACCGACGATTTGAAATTCTAAAATTTTTGTAATTATTTGCATAAAAAAATCGATACCTATATTCTTATTCTATCTATAGTCACACATGCATTATCTAAACAGGTGCATTAGGTAAATGTCTCTTACCTTCAAATATAGCAAATAAATGCTCTAATTTCCATTTTTTCAGAAACTCCTTTAAAGAATCCATATATCCTAAAATTTGTCCATAAAAAATGACAAATGCATGTTAATAACGATCACTAATTAGTTATACGATATGCGTTTAAAAAGCAAATTATGCAAAATTCCAAGTGGAAAATTCCAAGCAACAAAACCCGTACGTACTATGATGTACGACTGATCGGACTGCCGACTGATTGTATATACCGTCATTCGTCATCGTCTTTGTGTGTTGTTATTATTTTTCATCAAAAGAGTATTTAGCTATTGGAAAAATGGCCATGTTTCTTGAATGAAGTACTTCCTAGCGTATTTTTCTTATTATCTTAAAACAAAGTAACTTGCACTCAGAGGCGTAGATAGGTGTATGCTATGGGGGTGGTACTATGATTAAGTCGCAAAAAAATCACCGTCGGAATTTTTTTGTCGAATTAAAACGACGGCGATTTTTTTGTCTTCAAAAATATATAAAAACATAACACAAAAATTAAAATATAGATTTGTAAATAACATAAACAAAAATGAAACAACGACGTTTATTAGTTAATTTTCTATAAACTATAAATAAAAAACTCTAAACTATCAAAAAAAAACTATAAAAACTATAAACTATAAATAAAACTACAAAACAAAATCAAGTTTTCTAGTACGCTCTTTGGAAAACCTATCAATAACAGCATCAACATTTATTTCAATATCTTTATGGATATTGATTAGAGTTAACCCCACTAATCTGTCCTGGCCAATAAGAACACTTTGTATGCTTTTAATTAGGTCGAACATATTATAAACGATAAATCAACATAATTAAAAGCATACAAAGCGTTCTTATATGTCGGATATTAATTAAAAAAAATCCTTTCATAGTCAATGACTATTTCAATTCTCGTATCTCGTCAAGCGTCAGGTGGGGGGGGGGGGTACTGTCCCCCAGTACCCCCCCTTATCTACGCCCTTGCTTGCACTTGGTTGAATGAAAATAGATTCAAGAGAAATTTTCGAATTTTTTAAGAGAACCTGTTTCTGAAGAGAGTTTTTCTTCAGGCAAAATATTTTCTTTTACGCTTAAATAAATTCTCTTGCCAGCAAATTTTTTTTTCAAGAACGATGACGACTTTAGTTCAAGTCTATCTTTTTTATCAATGTGGTCATGGTCCCATCTCAGGTTTAGTCTTCTTTTAGGTCTCTTAATTCCTCGGAGGTACCATTTTGTAATTTTTGTGGTCCGTCTGTTGTTCGTTCTTCTTGCCAGATGTGCTGCCCATTGCCACTTAAGGGATTTGATTCTGTAGATGACATCTATTACCTTCGTCTTTTGTCGTGTCCACTCTATTTTACGGTCATTCTTGGTTATTCCCAGCATATTTTGATCCATTGAGCGTTGCAACCTGCAATTTTCTTATAATGTCCGTTTTTATTGTTCAGGTCATGACTGGGTAGCACACATTGGTTGAATGTTTTTTTCTTTGGATAAAGTGGCATTCTAAATTTGAATATGATTGAGTTGTCTAGTTACTAGTTCCTTGTACATTACTTTAGTTTTTGATAAATTCATTTTAAGACCTACTTTATTGCTGGCTGTATTTAGATATACGGCACATAGGACTATGTAATCAAAGAATCTTAGATGGTTAAGATTTTAATCCTTTGTCGGTCCAATCCAGTTGACGGAAGATTTCTTCTAATGTTGCTCTAAACAGTTTTGGGGATATCACGTCTCCCTGTCGTACTCCTTTGTCAGTTGGGAACTCTGAGCTTGTTTCATTACTCTTGCTTTCACATCTTGATTCTTTGTATACATTGGCGAGTGTTTCTATATAAGGCCTGTCAATAACCTGTTTTGCTAGGGGGTTAAATAATGTATATATTACTTTTAAAATGGATACTTGTATTAATTAGCCTTGTTTTAAGAGCAACCGGCTATAACAAACTAACTAAAAATGCTGTTATTTTCAAAGAACAATCAGATTCTGCAAAATAGCAGGTAACCAACTATTTGTTTTGTGCTTTATATTGTTTTAATATTAACCAGTTATTTTAGTTAGTTTAGCCATTAAAAATAGCAAGATTGTTAGATAGGTTAGTTTAGGTTAGGTTAAGTTGTGAAAATGCAACATGTGTACATGCAAAATATAAAAAAGAATGGAGTCTATAACTTTCTCGCATTATAGTTGTGAGATTATGTCTTTATTTTATACAAGTTGATTATGCTTCTGCACGTATTTATGTGGATTTTGACAACTTTGCGTAATTATTTACTAGGTATATGGTTTTCTGATATTTTGCAATTTTTTAAGAAACAACTTATACATACATACTTTATAAAAAAGTCTTTATTCAAAAAAAAAAATATTATAATTTTTATCATTGATAATATTCTTAATTAATAAAACATAAAATTGTCGAGGGGTTTGATCACTCGGCTGCGCGAAGTCTAGCCTAAATGGCTACTTTAACTCAACACTCGGGCGATCCTTGCACCTCAAGAACGAAAAAATAATGATTTTATTACTAAATTATATATACGCTTAAATATACGGCCAAATTATAATACACAATATCAAACGTAAGTTACTCGGGATTGAGGGGACTTGTGCTACCATTGTGACGAAGACGATATCAAATTGAATTATTGTTAATTTTGTTATTATATTCTCCGGGAACTTGTGAAGCAACCTCGATGTAATATTATTAGTCATCACTGCAGTAGCACAATTAAGCCTGTATAAGTAGTTAGTACTAATGATAATGGTAGAAAACCGGATAGCAAATAATAAATAATTATCCACTTTAGGAATAACAATGCTCGTAAAGAATAATTTCTTAAGTTAATTATTATTATCAAATTGAACAAGTATTTGTTTAAAAGTTATTTAGTTCTGTAAATAAAATTTATAAAATAATAAAAAAATTGTTATATTGCCATAACCTACCTACTTAAAGATCTACATTAACAAATACCTGGTAAGTATCTAAACTAGCAGCTATTTTTGTAAACTGAAATAAACAGCAAAATAAAACACTAAATCACCACAACACACCAAAATAATTTTACACTGGACGCGCGTTTCGCTTATCATGTTACAACTGAGCGAGTATATAAACGCTCAATTTGTAGATATTAGTTTAGCTTTAATCATCTGCTGATGTGCTAACATTGTGTGTAAAAAAAACATAAATGCTAACATTGTGTGTGCAAAGTGTTTTGGTGTATTGTCGTGATTTAGTGTTTTATATTGCTAATGTAACACCAAATGTTCCAACCGCCAACTGTAAATTGACATAAAGCTACATTTGTATCCGCTTTTATTTCGTCTGTATAATTGCCGGTTACTTTTAAAACAATATCCATTTTAGTCATATCATATACAAGGTGGTCCGAACTGTATTCCGGAAACTTTGGCAGCATATTCTGCAGATAAAAATAGATAAAAAAGTTCGTATAAACGTATGTCCTAAAATGGTTAGTTTCGATGATACAGAGTGTAGAACTTTCAATTTTATTTCGTTTTTTTCCAAATAATTTGATGAATAAAGTAACATCAATATTAGAGTGAAAACTGGCGTCTGGGAGTTTTTTGACATGAGAAATTTGATTTTGATGTCAATATGACTCCTACTTGTTGAGGGCGCCACCTACATATTTTTTAACTGATTTAAAGAGTAAAAATTTTTCGTCCGTACCTGTATAAAACTACTGAGTAAAAAAATATACATTTACGACGTTTTCTACGTAAAAAAGATCTCGCCCAAAGAAGTAAAAATCGCTACGAGTAATGTTTCTCGAGATATTTGGAATCTAAATTATGAATAGGTACCTGTCATCATTGACATAAATAATTAAACATGTTGACTAAATAGTTATTAGAATGAAATAATAAATTTGAATTGTTTTTGTGCCAAAAGTTTAACAAAAACTGTTTTATTATTATTTTTTGAAGAAAAATTTATGATTAATTTCGGACCGGTTTCGATTCGGACCACCCTGGATAAACATTAGTCTAAGAGCCAGTAGCAGGCAACCTATATGTAATTTATAAAACCTGAAATTTTGACCAGTGAGTCTTAGATACACATACACTGACTTCAATCAAAGAGCAACTTATTCAAAGATTATTTGCTCTTTGAATACAGTCAATGTATGTGTATCTGCATTAATTTTTTGTTTTGGATTTTTTTTTGTGATATTTTTGTATATGGATGTTTTAAACTAAGTGTGTTATATGTCAAATGAAAAAGGGATATCCACCCCTCTCTATATCATCCGTATATTCATAGAAATGACAAAGAAAGTCCAGATTTAAATTGTCCTGAAGATGCAAATAAATTTTGCGAAACGTCGACAAATTTAAAACAAAGGACTTCTGTTGAGTTTTTTCGATCCTAACCCAATTAAAAAAAACAGTATAAATTATTTTGGAACGACAACGCTAGAAATTGGATTTACACTTTATATTAAAATATCACCTTTATATTAAGAAGTGATGGCAAATGAATAATTTTAGGAACACCCCAAGGAGAATTAGAACAAAACATGAGCTCTCTATAATAATTTTGGAAAACAGCGATTCACCCAAAAGTTCAGATATAGTAGGCGACGAATGCAAAAAGAATAAACTGTCAGACACAAAATCAAGCAAGGCAGATTATAAATGTCAGATTTGCCTGAAAGTTTACACGTCCTTGCGTCTCTTAAATTTCCATAGGAAAAAACACAAGTTTGAAAAACAGGATCCTTCGTACACGTTTGATAACCTCAAACAGACTTATCGCTGCAATACTTGTTTTAATAAATTTCAACACAAGCATGAAATCAAGGAGCACATTAAAGTGCACTCTTGTATGTGTCCAGTATGTTACGAATACTTTCCAACAGCATTGCTGCTAGGTTGGCATATGGCGGAGCATAATCCGGACGGCTACGTAAGTTGCCCACTCTGTGATCATAAGTATAAGACTTTTTACGGCAATATTCTACAAGCACATATTAGGAAAACTCACGAAAAACTAGATGCCCACTACTGCAAACATTGCGGTTCGTCGTATTTCAAGAAAAATCAACTCATCGAGCACATAAACGTCGTCCATTTAAAACGCGATCCTTACAAATGCGTTGTTTGTGATAAGCAGTTTATAATGAGTGCCAGCTTGTACAAACATCAAGTCGAAAAGCATAAAGTATTAATTGATGGGGATCTCCCCACAAACTCTTGTCTAGTTTGTAAAACAACTTTCAGAAAAGTATCTGCTTTGGAAAAACACCTAAATGAAAAGCATCGCAATCCAAAATTGAAGAAACAGCAGACTTATGTTTGTGATACTTGTGGTAAAGGATTCGGATATAGGCAAAGTTTAAAAGTTCACCAGCGAGGCCACGAAGGAATCAAACCATTCAAATGTTCGTTTTGTTCTAAAGTGTTTAAGTTGAATTCGCAGAGGTTAGTTCACGAAGCAGTCCATACAAATATCAGGCCGTATTCCTGCGATCAGTGTGGACTTCGATTTAAACTAATGAAAACTTTGAGGGTCCATTTAAATACTCACAAAGTAGAAAAATCTTTTGTGTGTGAGTTCTGCAAGAAAGGGTACAATAGAGCTGATCATTACAAGTTACACCTAAAGAATTGTAAAAGAAGTCCTATACATTGCAAGAAAGCTAACTGATCTGTTAAAGTGTCTTCTAAAAAATCTTTGTATGAATACATAAATAAAATTGTATGATTTTGTAATTTTTAAACCTCATTAATTCTTATATTAGTATTTTAAGTAATTTATTTGATAGATATAAGTCATGGTACAAAGAATACAAGGTATGATCGATAGCGGCTCCAATTTCGTTCAGTTCGCGCATACCACCTGTGACGTCACTAGGAAAATAATGAATAAATAAAAAATAAAGAAAGTTGACAGGAGATCTGCATTTTTTGGGGTTATGGTTAAGAATTGTTTATTTTTCAGTTCCAAAAATATATTTTAAATGATAAAATAATATTTTTTTATAACCAATTAATAAGATAGTTATTATTAATTTTGATTATCGTTATATTTTTGCAGTTTTTTTTATTATTTTGCTGTTGCAACCAAAGGTTCCAACCCTCAATTGTAAGTTTCTTTAAGATTTTAAAACTTCTTCAAAATGGCAAAAAATATGACATTATTTAAAATACTATCAATAACCTATCAAAGAATAAAATGGAAATCATAATATTACCATAGAAACGCGTTTTGATTTTTAGAACTTTAAAAAAAAATTAACTATATTTTCATGTTTTTTTTTCATTTCTCTAAAACACTACAGAAATTTGGACCAGTATAAACGGGATTAACCATGTTAGGACAAGCAAATTTTTTTATGAAGAATGCATTTTTTGCAAAATGTCAATAATAAAAAATTGTACGATATTTTGTGAAGTGAAACTTCTTACTAATGAAACTTCTTACTAACAGCTGTTAAATTGAAGATTTTGAAGAATATACATATATTTTTTTTTAATTGATTGTATATATATATATTTTATTAGAGTTAATATAAAACCGTATGCTATTCTAGCTTTATTACCCGGCCGGATACCCTAGCAGCTGTGGCCATTAAACCAAAATACTCCTATAGTCTATAAAATGAATAACTTTGAATTTTGACCGTTATTTTTTACCAACATGGCAGATATAAAATGTCAAAAAAGTTACTGATATTCTTTAAATTGAGTGTCTAAACGAATCAGATAGGTAACTCTTTTTATTTTCGTGAAATAGAAAAGGAAAATAATAAAACAAGTGACAGTTCCTTCTCTTCTTGCAAAAATTAACACGAAATGTCATAATTGTTAAAAGTAAAATGACATCAGCTTTTGACATTTCTAAATATCAGACCAATCCCGTCTCTAATAGAACAGCCACGAAGCGAGATTTATGACGTCATGCTAGTTAGATACTACCCTTGTATATGAGAATACTACGGATTAATAAATATGTTGTAGAATACATGGAAAACATAATTATTCCTCGTATTTTTGGTTTTAAAAAAAATTGTATTTGTAAAAATGATATAGTTTACATGAAATGTACATAATATACAGTTAATAAATACAATATAATATACCTATTTATAGTAATAAATACTTTGGCAAATAAACTATGAACCATACAAATGCAGCAAATGTTTTACAATATACATAATAAATAGGTACATAAGATAATGGGTAAAATGCAAAATATATTTTAAATTTTGGGGTTTGAAAATCGATCTAATTTAACAAATAACATTCAATATCTACTAATAGTGATGTATTATTATTTGCATTCACAAAATTTATGTATATAATATGTATATTTTGCAAGTATCAATGTTTCAAAAATTATATTTGCAAATAATACAATAAAATAGAAAAAAGGCGTCAGCGATGGCTATGAAATAAAGATCGCTGTCATTTTATATGCAAAATTATTCTAAAATTTTTAATTTTCTTGGGATTTAGGTTCGGGAAAACGCTGATTGAGTTTTCATTTGGTTTTTCATTATTTTTATTTGGTTTAAAAAAAAAAACGTTTCGGCTAACATTATAGCCTTCATCAGTGTTGTGTCATATGAAAAAAATAGTGTCGAATGTAATCCAAAAAATTACATATAAAATATTCACAACCTAACCTAACACCACATAATGTTTACTACAGCAATTAATAAATTAATATAAACTTGTCAAAAGATGACCACATATTTTTTAATATTATTATTCTTAACACTAAAACTATCTACATTGACTATGGAGTACGATTTCAGCCATAGTCAATGTAGATAGTTTTAGTGCTAAGAATAATAATTTTAAAAAATATCTGGTCATCTTTTGACAAGTTTATATTAATTTATTAATAACAACAATATTATATAATATAACAATATTATATTATGTATATTTAATGTAAACTATATCATTTTTAAAATACAAACCAAAAATACGAGAAATAATCATGTTTTCCATGATGTATTCTACAACATATTTGTTAATCCGTAGTATCTAACTAGCGTGACGTCATAAATCTCGTTCCGAGGCTGTTCTATTAGAGACGGTATTGCGTCAGCATGGCCGCAAGTTGCTAACCTAATAAAATTAACACTAAAAAAGCCCGCAAGAACTGTCAAATTCAAAGTTATTCGTTTCACCGACTATACATCTATATCTCTGACTACTACTAACCAACAATTTGTTTTGTGTGCTCTGGTTTGGTTTGGTTGTTTTTGTTTAAATCTTTTGTTCATTATTCGTGTTGGAGATTTATTTTTAAATTAATGTTAATCGTTAGGCAACCAGTAAACTCATAGAATATGTATTTCTTTTGCATAATCAAAATTGTCACTCTAAATTTTACATAACCAAATGGTCACTCTAAATCGCTGTTTTTTTTTAGACAGTTGTCACTTGTCTTGTCATTCAATCAGAATGTTGTTAACAAAAGTTTCACTTCAAAAAAGTTTTCTTCTTGTAAAGACAATCCGGCGACATACTCTATATATAAGATATGTCTATGGTTTAATTTAAGCTATGGGCTGGAGCGGCAGTTTTGGTGTTCATCTGCTGGCTGGATGAAAAGGAAATACTGCTGTTAAAATTTTATCATAAAAATATATGAAATATAGACTTAAATGTTTTAAAAGATTTAATTCTTTTTTTATGGCTCTTGTTTTTTCTATTTCATAAAGAGATTTAAATCACAAATTATTTTGAAAATTACTTAAATTTTAAGTTTTCAATCAGATTGCAGCTCTGCTATTGGTAATTAAACTTAGTTCCTTAAAAATATTTTTGGAATAAATATTATCAAAGAATGTTACTGTATCTTTGAATTTGAGATTCGCTCAGGTTTAGTAGAGTTTTGAAAAATATAGAATTATTAAAGTCTGTTATTTCTCATTGAATTTAGTCTTTAAATAAATTGTTTAATTAATAATTTAGGATAATTAATTATAAATTTGGGTAATTTTTAAGGAGTAGGTGTTTTTAAGTGTTTTTTTTGTATTTCATTGAAACTATATTTTTCCTAGCTATAGGTATATTTTGTTTAAAACTTAAGGTCTCAGTTATTATTGGCATAGACTATTTATGTATTATTGAAATTGTGTTCTGTAAAATATGTAATATTTTTGTTAATGGTATGAAGTAGTTAAGAATAGATTTGTTTTATATAAAATAACATTTTTAATAATAAAGATATTTTTTTGCCTAAAAAGTTTTATTTCTTTTAATTTTATAAAAAACACTAAAATTGTATTATTTTTTTTAGGAAAAGAAGACGCAGAAAATCATATTCCTCTAAATTACCTGAATATCCTTGTACCGATTGTTCAAACGTATCTTTAACGCAAAGAACAGCAAATCTACATAAACATCTTCATAAAGACGAATCTTTCTATACCGTTGATAGAACGAAAAAACTTTTTCTTTGTATTTACTGTTCAGCTAGGTATTCTTCTAAGAAAGAAATCCGAAATCATTTTACTAGTCATTCCATTACCTGCAAAGAATGCAGTATCTCATTTGACAATCCGTTTTGCCTTGGATTACATATGGCTCAACACGATCAAAGTGAACGCGTATCTTGCCCTCTTTGTGATTATAAAGGCACTTTTGCTGTTTCTTTAAGAAAACACATTTCCAATATCCATTTTGAGGTATTAAAAGATACTAAATATGATCAAGAAGAAGAAGAAAATCACGTGCCTTCAAGAAAGTCAAAAATAAGCAAAAACGATATTGACAGACTTCGAAGGGAGTTAAACACAAAAAGAAAACGAGAACAGAGACTGAAAACTAAATTAATATGTAGCATTTGTGGAAAGAAATATCCTACCATTAAAGACCTGAGGAATCATAGAAAAGTTCACAAGGCCGAACGAATGGAATTGCTGTTTGCCTTTAATCCTTTAAGAAAAGCGTATTCATGTGACACATGTCATCAAGAGTTTCGAGAAGAACATGAAATACAAAGCCACGTTGAAACTCATACATATACTTGTAGTGTATGTTCTGTTGACTTCAAAAAACCTATATTTTTAGGGTTACACATGGCCGAACATAACGACAAAGGTGAGATTAGCTGTCCTTTATGCGATCACGAGTTTAAAACGTTGTGCAAAAGTAGGCTATTGAGGCATATTAAACAGAAGCATCAGAAGGAACGCCCCAAAACAAGTCAATGTGAGTATTGTGGGTCGTCATATTTATCAAAGCAGATGCTAGAAGACCATATCAAAGTAATTCATTTACAAAAGGAACCGTATAAGTGTATCGTGTGCGAACACACGTTTACTTTGAAGTCAAGTATGAGGATACATCAAATAAACAAGCACAGGGTCGTAGACGAAAGCGAATTATCGTCAAACTACTGTACATTATGCAAAATGTCCTTTAAAAAGCCTTCGTCTTTGGCTAAGCATCTGGAAATGAAAAGGTGCGTGCCAACACCTAGGGTAGAACGCCAAGGACACTTTGTTTTGACCTGTGCGGTAAAGAGTTTCGTTTCTACAAAACCTTCAATCTGCACCAAAGGGATCACGCAGGAGACAAGCCATATAAATGTTCCTACTGCCCGAAATCTTTTGTTATTAATTCTAAGAGGCTTGCTCACGAAGTTTCCCACACGGATGCCAGGCCATATTCCTGCGAGACTTGCGGACAGAGTTACAAAACCTGGAAGCATCTTAGGCGACATCTAGTCGTTCACAATTCGAGCGTACTCCCATTTACGTGTCATTTTTGTGATAGAGAATTTTCGACTAAAGACACCTTAAGAGCACACGTGAGGCTGTGTTCGAAAAAGTACTTAGTTCCTTATAATATTAATAATTAATGACTTAAATAATATAATTGAAATTGAATTTCGAGTCGTAATTTTCTGATATGTTTTGAAAATTAAGATAGTCTCGTTTGTCATTTTACTTCTCACAGGTCCATTTTTTCAGAACATTAATGTTATTTTTCATAAGTTTTCATTTTTCGCAGTGAGTGGTAAATAATATTAGGTACAACCTAATTTTATAATATAGTTCTGGCCTCAAAGCGCTCCCAGCCCTAACAGGTGTACAATAAATTGCTCATTTTTGATTTGACATTTTTATGCATAATCTGTGTAGATATGATTCACCGGTCTTATTTTCTCTGTATTATGTTTAATCCTACAGTGACTGTTTTAAGTGCTGTTTTTAACAGATTAATCATTATTTATTAATTGTAAATAATGTTAATATTATAAATAATGTAAGCAATAAGTGTAAAATTTTAATATTTACAGTAAATAATATAATATAATAAATATTTTATTTTATTTTAAATAAGATGTTTTACTTCGAGAGAAAATCCTCTAATATTAAAAGAGTAAATTTACCAGTAAAATACTTCATTTAATTATAATTGATTATTTTGTACGTCAAATATTGAATCACTGCTTTATTCATAATCCATTGTGTGCAATCAACAATTTGTTACACTTTGACAGATGTTTTGAGAAGCACTTAACGTGAGTTAAGGAACGACCCAAGACAAATCAAAGTGAGTATTGTGGATCGTCATATTTATGCAAATGCTAGAAGTCCATATCGAAGTAATTTACTTACAAAAGGAACCGTATAAGTGTATCGTTTACGAACATACGTTTACTTTGAAGTCAAGTATGAGGATACATCAAATAAACAAACACAGGGTCGTAGACGAAAGCGAATTATCTTCAAACTACTGTACATTATGCAAAATGTCCTTTAAAAAGCCTTCGTCTTTGGCTCTCTCTTCAGTCCTGACCCCCATTAGGGAGTGTAGTGGTCAGCGTAACATCATGGATAATTTTTCTCCATGCGCCTCTATCTTTTGTCATCTCGATGACACCGTGCATTGACTTGCTACAGCTAGTCGTGATCAGCAATTACGATATTGTAAAGAACTTATCCTTTTTAAACAGTATCCGACTTATAATTTAGTAGTATAAGGACTATTTAATACATCTATGGAATACTAAAACCTACTTTATTAAACTGTAGTATTAATATCTCAATATATGTGTATAACAAGAAAAAAAATATTGATAATATTAAAGACGTGACAACATAGGCTGGATGACAAAGGCTCGGTCGACTGTACCCAGAACTAAACAAAAAATATTGTTTGACCGCGTTGAGATGTAAATAGTGTAGTCTATATTTTATTTTCAGTCTATGAGAGAACAACAATATCTAGATCGGAGATTTTTTGCACATCATTGTTTTACAACGAGAACTATCGATTAAAAATATTTTCAATATGGCGGCACTTCCGGAAATACCGGAAGTTGAGAGCAACTTTCTTATTTTAAATGGGTGCCCCCATTTTTTATTACATACTTAAATTCTCTGTAAAATTCTATGAATATTGATGTTAAACACTCTATACCTACCATTAACCGTTTTTGAGAAAAACATTTTTTTTTAAATTTTTGGATGAAAAAAATTACCTGTCAAAAAAAATTGTATAGCCTAAAAGTCAAACTTAGTGATTACCGCAGCCACTATGACATAAAGAGAAGACATGTGGCTATCTATTTCAAAAATTAATTTTTTTAAATGTCATATAATAATTAAACGGTAGCTGTCATGGAATTGAGCGGTTAAAAAATTATCATAAATCATTTTTTTCAAATGGAAACCCACTTTTTTTTATTTCACTAATGAAAAGGGGTTTCAATTCGTTACTTTCTAGCTATACATGTTCCTATACCTAAAATAAATCAAGTTATTTAAGATTTAATTTGAAAACGCATATTTTTCTTGATTTTATCTAACTTCCTTTGACATTAAGTGTCAGAAAATGTATTTCCATCTGTCAGAAAACGAATTATTTGAATTTCCTATATTATAAATACTGCTTGCCCCCCCTTAAGAGTTTAAAAAGTGTACTTATAAAAATATATCTCGTATTTTCGCTCTTTAGCTTTGTCTTTAGTGATATCTAATAGTTGATATTAGTAATAATATTCCGTATGATCAAAAAAAAACAGCGCAAAGTTGACTCGGAAATGATGCTGCTTTTTGAACAAAGTCATAGGCTACTGGTTAAAATCAAGGAAATATACGCTTTACAACTAAATCTTGAACAACTTAAAAACGATTTATTTTAGGTATAGGAACATGTATAGTCAAAAAGTAACGAATTGAAAAGCCTTTTCACTAGTGAAATAAAAAAAGTGGGTTTCTATTTGAAAAAAATGACTGATGATAATTTTTAAATCGCTCTATTCTATGACAGCTGCGGCCATTATTACATGACATTCGAACAATTTAAATTTTGAAATAGATAGCCACACGTTTTCTCTTTATGGCACAGTGGCTGTGGTAATCACTAAATTTGACGTTTAGGCTATACACATATTTTTGACAGGCAGTTTTTTTCGTTCAAAAATTTTAAATATTTTTTTCTCGAAAACGGTTAATGTTAGGTATAGAGTGATTAATATCAAAATTCATAAAATTTTACAGAGTATTTAAGTATGTAATAAAAAATGGGGGCACCCATTTAAAATAATAAAGTTGCTGTCAACTTTCGGTATTTCCGGAAGTGCCGCCATATTGAAAATATTTTTAATCGGTTGTGAAACTATGATGTGCAAAAAATCTCCGAGCTAGATGTTGTAGTTCGCCAGAAACTTCTAATGCACGCTTAGCCTGGGACACCCTGTATATTGGATATGTCTATGGCATAATTTAAGCTAAAACTGGGGCGGCAATTGTTTTTCATCTGTTGCCTGAAAAGGAAATACTGCACTGTTAAACATTTATCTGAAAAATATATGAAAAATAGACTTAATTTTAAAAGATTTAAGTCTTTTTTTATGGCAAGTCTTTCTCTATTTCAGAATAGAGATTTAAATCTCAAATCATTTTGAAAATTACTTAAATTTTAAGTTTTCAGTTAGCTTACAACTTTGCTATTGGTAATTAAACTTAGTTAACCTTAAAAATATTTTTGGAATAAATATTATCAAAAAATGTTACTGCATCTTTGAATTTGAGATTCGCTCAGGTTTAGTAGAGTTTTGAAAAATACATAATTATTAATGTCTATTATTTCACATGGAATGTGTCATTATTTAGTATTTAATATATATTATTGAAATTGTGTTCTGTAAAATATGTAATATTTTTGTTAATGGTATGAATTAGTTAAGAATAGATTTGTTTTATATAAAATAACATTTTTAATAATAAAGATATTTTTTTGCCTAAAAAGTTTTATTCCTTTTTAGTTTATAAAAAACACTAAAATTGTATTATTTTTTTAGGAAAAGAAGACGCAGAAAATCATATTCCTCTAAATTACCTGAATATCCTTGTACCGATTGTTCAAACGTATCTTTAACGCAAAGAACAGCAAATCTACATAAACATCTTCATAAAGACGAATCTTTCTATACCGTTGATAGAACGAAAAAACTTTTTCTTTGTATTTACTGTTCAGCTAGGTATTCTTCTAAGAAAGAAATCCGAAATCATTTTACTAGTCATTCCATTACCTGCAAAGAATGCAGTATCTCATTTGACAATCCGTTTTGCCTTGGATTACATATGGCTCAACACGATCAAAGTGAACGCGTATCTTGCCCTCTTTGTGATTATAAAGGCACTTTTGCTGTTTCTTTAAGAAAACACATTTCCAATATCCATTTTGAGGTATTAAAAGATACTAAATATGATCAAGAAGAAGAAGAAAATCACGTGCCTTCAAGAAAGTCAAAAATAAGCAAAAACGATATTGACAGACTTCGAAGGGAGTTAAACACAAAAAGAAAACGAGAACAGAGACTGAAAACTAAATTAATATGTAGCATTTGTGGAAAGAAATATCCTACCATTAAAGACCTTAGGAATCATAGAAAAGTCACAAGGCCGAACGAATGGAATTGCTGTTTGCCTTTAATCCTTTAAGAAAAGCGTATTCATGTGACACATGTCATCAAGAGTTTCGAGAAGAACATGAAATACAAAGCCACGTTGAAACTCATACATATACTTGTAGTGTATGTTCTGTTGACTTCAAAAAACCTATATTTTTAGGGTTACACATGGCCGAACATAACGACAAAGGTGAGATTAGCTGTCCTTTATGCGATCACGAGTTTAAAACGTTGTGCAAAAGTAGGCTATTGAGGCATATTAAACAGAAGCATCAGAAGGAACGCCCCAAAACAAGTCAATGTGAGTATTGTGGGTCGTCATATTTATCAAAGCAGATGCTAGAAGACCATATCAAAGTAATTCATTTACAAAAGGAACCGTATAAGTGTATCGTGTGCGAACACACGTTTACTTTGAAGTCAAGTATGAGGATACATCAAATAAACAAGCACAGGGTCGTAGACGAAAGCGAATTATCGTCAAACTACTGTACATTATGCAAAATGTCCTTTAAAAAGCCTTCGTCTTTGGCTAAGCATCTGGAAATGAAAAGGTGCGTGCCAACACCTAGGGTAGAACGCCAAGGACACTTTGTTTGTGACCTGTGCGGTAAAGAGTTTCGTTTCTACAAAACCTTCAATCTGCACCAAAGAGATCACGCAGGAGACAAGCCATATAAATGTTCCTACTGCCCGAAATCTTTTGTTATTAATTCTAAGAGGCTTGCTCACGAAGTTTCCCACACGGATGCCCGGCCATATTCCTGCGAGACTTGCGGGCAGAGTTACAAAACCTGGAAGCATCTTAGGCGACATCTAGTCGTTCACAATTCGAGCGTACTCACATTTACGTGTCATTTTTGTGATAGAGAATTTTCGACTAAAGACACCTTAAGAGCACACGTGAGGCTGTGTTCGAAAAAGTACTTAGTTCCTTATAATATTAATAATTAATGACTTAAATAATATAAATGAAATTGAATTTCGAGTCGTAATTTTCTGATATGTTTTGAAAATTAAGATAGTCTCGTTTGTCATTTTACTTCTCACAGGTCCATTTTTCAGAACATTAATGTTTTTCATAAGTTTTCATTTTTCGCAGTTATTGGTAAATAATATTAGGTACAACCTAATTTTATAATATAGTTCTGGCCTCAAAACGCTCCCAGCCTAACAGGTGTACAATAAATTGCTCATTTTTGATTTGACATTTTTATGCATAATCTGTGTAGATATTATTCACCGGTCTTATTTTCTCTGTATTATATTTAATCCTACAGTGACTGTTTAAAGTGCTGTTCTTAACAGATTAATAATTATTTATTAATTGTAAATAATGTTAATATTATAAATAATGTAAGCAATAAGTGTAAAATTTTAATATTTACAGTAAATAATATAATATAATAAATATTTTATTTTATTTTAAATAAGATGTTTTACTTCGAGAGAAAATCCTCTAATATTAAAAAAGTAAATTTACTAGTAAAATACTTCATTTAATTATAATTGATCATTTTGTAAGTCAAAATATTGAATCACTGCTTTATTCATAATACATTGTGTGCAATCAACAATTTGTTACACTTTGACAGATGTTTTGAGAACCACTTAACGTGAGTTAATGAACGACCCAAGACAAATCAAAGTGAGTATTGTGGATCGTCATATTTATGTAAATGCTAGAAGTCCATATCGAAGTAATTTACTTACAAAAGGAACCGTATAAGTGTATCGTTTACGAACATACGTTTACTTTGAAGTCAAGTATGAGGATACATCAAATAAACAAACACAGGGTCGTAGACGAAAGCGAATTATCTTCAAACTATTGTACATTATGCAAAATGTCCTTTAAAAAGCCTTCGTCTTTGGCTAAGCATCTGGAAATGAAAAGGTGCGTGCCAACACCTAGGGTAGAACGCCAAGGACACTTTGTTTGTGACCTGTGCGGTAAAGAGTTTCGTTTCTACAAAACCTTCAATCTGCACCAAAGGGATCACGCAGGAGACAAGCCATATAAATGTTCCTACTGCCCGAAATCTTTTGTTATTAATTCTAAGAGGCTTGCTCACGAAGTTTCCCACACGGATGCCAGGCCATATTTCTGCGAGACTTGCGGACAGAGTTACAAAACCTGGAAGCATCTTAGGCGACATCTAGTCGTTCACAATTCAAGCGTACTCACATTTACGTGTCATTTTTGTGATAGAGAATTTTCGACTAAAGACACCTTAAGAGCACACGTGAGGCTGTGTTCGAAAAAGTACTTAGTTCCTTATAATATTAATAATTAATTACTTAAATAATATAATTGAAATTGAATTTCGAGTCGTAATTTTCTCATATCTTTTGAAAATTAAGATATTCTCGTTTGTCATTTTACTTCGCACAGGCCCATTTTTTAGAACAATAATATTGTTTTTCATAGGTTTTCGTAAATAATGTTAAGCACAGCCTAATTTTATAATATAGTTCGGGCCTTAAAGCGCTCTCAGCCTAACAGGTGTACAATAAATTGCTCATTTTAGATTGGACCTTTTATGCATAATCTGTGTAGATATGATTCACCGGTCTTATTTTCTCTGTATTATGTTTAATCTTACAGTGGCTATTTTAAGTGCTGTACTTAACATATTAATTATTTATTAATTGTAAATAATGTTAATATTATAAATAATGTAAACAATGAATTTAAAGAAATAAAATTTTAATATTTATAGTAAATAATATAATAAATATTTTATTTTAAATGAGATATTTTACTTCAAAAAAGTTAAAAAATGTCTATACCTATGTGGCGGATTCATCTATCCAAAAAAATCCTTTATGGGTTTTTCGCCACTGCACTGCAAGAAATATCTACAAAATAAAATAGTTATTTTTTGTAAACACTTCTGCGTTAAACAAAATTAATAAATAAATTAATATTTTCAAAAAAGTTAATATTAAAAAAGTAAGTTTAGTCAAATACTTACTAATTATAACTGATATTTTTACAAGTTGAACAAAATATTGAAGCACTGCTTTATTCGTAATTCATTGTGTGCAGTCAATAATTTGTTTTACACTTAGAAGAAGATTTTAAGACGCACTTCTGATTCACGCCAATTAAGGGCCAAATGAGATCGGATATCTCGTGAGTAAGGTTCGATTTAAGCACAAGCTCGGTAGTCGGAAGGCCATTATATGACTGAGGACCGCGGTTCGGATTCCGCGTAAACAAAGTAGGTTTCTTTTAGATTAGCCTTGGAAAAATGAGACGCTAAAAAAATATAATATACTTAGGTTGCATTGGGACACTAAACGAGTATCTTATTTCTATAATGCGTCTTGAAGGTTTTTTGAGAAAAGTTTTAAAAAAGTGGACAAAATTCGGTCTATAACCTGCTAATAATTAAATTTAATATTTTAATTAATATTTTTGAACATTACCTAAAAAATCTTGAACATTACCTATAAAAAATCTTTGCTTATTTCAAATCTTATAGTAAAAGTTGTATGAAAACTAATAATTGAGGAAAGTTATAAAAAAAATGGACGGAAAAATAAATCAAATCAGCATATCAATGGATTACTTAATCAAACGAATTAATCAAATTCAAATATAATCTCGAAATTTTGAATTTATTTTAAATTTTCGATTCTAGTTTTTTGGCAACCTTAGTTTACGTTCATATATTTTCAAATTTTTGCTATAAAATATATTTCAACGATTAATGAATATATTAGTAGTATTAATTTTAATATTAAAAACAGATATACAATCAATTCAAAATAATCAGTTTATGTTAACGTTCAAAATTAATAATGTGTAATATTTTTTAGGCATTACCCTATCTATTTTCAAAACGTAGAATCCGAAATTAAAATAGAACCCATAGAAGAAATAGAGGTAAAAGAGGAATTCTTTGATACGGATGCAAAATTGGGATTTTCTTGTACAGTATGCCATGAACAATACAGGACAAAATCTCAACTCATTATGCATAACCAAATTCACGAAGTTAAAGCAGTTAACACTAACTATTCTAACGACTTTATAAACTGTAAAGAAGAACCTCAGTCGCTTGCAGAAATTTCAGATCATGTTATATCAAATCAACAATATTGCAAGATATGTAATGAGTGCTTTCCTAACGATTTGGTTTTAGCAGCACATATGGCCGAACATAATAAAGGTCTAAACAGATTTTATTGTCCGTATTGTAATTATAAAACTAACGGCATAAAATATTTGCGCACCCACTTATTTGGTGTACATTATAAAGTTAAAGTGAGCGAAGAAATTGAAAGTGGTAGTAATCTGATAGAAAAGAAAGCGAAACTTGATTTATACACGAATTGTTTTGAATGTACAGTATGTCATAAGAGATATCCTTTGAGAAAACAACTGTATCTACATAATCGGGTACATAAGGTAGAGGAAAAAGAAGCGGGGTATACAGAATCTATTCCTCCTGGTTCTTTCACCTGTAATTATTGCAACGTTCAATGCAATACGCGTGAAATAGCAGATGATCACATTAAATCTCACCAAGAATCATGTCAGAAATGCAACCTGTCCTTTCCTAACGCCTTAATTTTAGGCATACACATGGCTGACCATTACCAAGACGACACTTTTCATTGTATCCACTGCAATTATAAAACTCTCTTTGCGCTGTACTTGAAAAGACACATATTCCGTAGTCATTACAAAAAGAAATCATTCAATTGTCACTCGTGCTATGCTACGTATTGTTCGAAACGTCAACTGAACGAACATATTCGATTTCATCACGATCATATGGACCCATATGCTTGTGTAGTTTGCGAAAAAAAGTTTACCGTGAAAACCAGTTTTCGAAAACATCAAATTAAGAAACATAGACCTTTAGTAGATGGCGTCATACCTTAATATTCAACAAAGTCACTCATATCCTATAGTAAAAGGTGTATGAAAAAGGAAAGTTATAAAAAATGGAAAGAAAAATAAAATCATATCAGCATAATATCAATGCATTACTTAATCAAAATAATTAATACAATTTAAATATAATCTCCAAATTTTGAATTTATTTTATATTTTTAAATATAGTTGTTTGGCAGCCTTAGTTTGTGTTTATATATTTTCAAATTTTTGAATAATTAATGAACATATTACTATTAGTATTTATTTTAATATTACAAACAGACATACAATCAATTCATATTCAAATAATTCATTTATATTAAAGTTTAAAATTAATAATATGTAATATTTTTAGTGATTACCCCATTTATTTTCAAAACGTAGAATCCGAAATTAAAATAGAACCCAAAGAAGAAACTGAGGTAAAAGAGGAATCCTTTGATACGGATGCAAAATTGGGATTTTCTTGTACAGTATGCCAAAAACAATACAGGACAAAATCTCTACTCATTATGCATAACCAAATTCACGAAGTTAATGCAGTTAACACTAACTATAATGTTGATAACTGTTCTAAGGTCTTTATAAACTGTAAAGAAGAACCTCAATCGCTTGAAGAAATTTCAAATCATGTTATATCAAATCAACAAAATTGCAAGATATGTAATGAGTGCTTTTCTAACGATTTGGTTTTAGCAGCACATATGGCCGAACATAATAAAGGTCTAAATAGATTTTATTGTCCGTATTGTAATTATAAAACTAACGGCATAAAATATTTGCGCACCCACTTATTTGGTGTACATTATAAAGTTAAAGTGAGCGAAGAAATTGAAAATGGTAGTAATCTGATAGAAAAGAAAGCGAAACTTGATTTATACACGAATTGTTTTGAATGTACAGTATGTCATAAGAGATATCCTTTGAGAAAACAACTGTATCTACATAATCGGGTACATAAGGTAGAAGAAAAAGAAGCGGGGTATACAGAATCTATTCCTCCTGGTTCTTTCACCTGTAATTATTGCAACGTTCAATGCAATACGCGTGAAATAGCAGATGATCACATTAAATCTCACCAAGAAACATGTCAGAAATGCAACCTGTCCTTTCCTAACGCCTTAATTTTAGGCATACACATGGCTGACCATTACCAAGACGACACTTTTCATTGTATCCACTGCAATTACAAAACTGTCTTTGCGCCATACTTGAAAAGCCACATATTCGGTAGCCATTACAAAAAGAAATCATTCAAGTGTCACTCGTGCTATGCTACGTATTGTTCTAAACGTCAATTGAACGAACATGTTCGATTTTATCACGATCATATGGACCCATATGCTTGTGTAGTTTGCGAAAGAAAGTTCACCGTAAAAACCAGTCTTCAAAAACATCAAGTTAAGAAACACAGACCTTTAGTAGATGGCATCATACCTTAATATTCAACAAAGTCACTCAAATCCTATAGTAACAGGTGTGTGAAAAGGAAAGTTATAAAAAATGGAAGGAAAAATAAATCATATGAGCATAATATCAATGGATTATTTAATCAAACGAATTAATAAAATTCAAATATAATCTCCAAATTTTGAATTTATTTTATATTTTTAAATATAGTTGTTTGGCAGCCTTAGTTTGTGTTTATATATTTTCAAATTTTTGAATAATTAATGAATATATTAGTATTAGTATTTATTTTTATATTAAAAACAGACATACAATCAATTCATATTCCAAATAAATAGTTTATATAAATAATTAAATAAAAATAAAGTTTAAAATTAATAATGTGTAATATTTTTTAGTGATTACCCGACTTATTTTCAAAACGTAGAATCCGAAATTAGAATAGAACCCAAAGAAGAAGTTGAGGTAAAAGAGGAATGCCTTGATACGGATGCAAAATTGGGATGTTCTTGTACAGTATGCCAAAAACAATACACGACAAAAACTTTACTCATTTTGCATAACCGAATTCACGAAGTCGAACCAGTCAATACTAACTATACGGTTGACAATAATTGTCCTAAAACCTTTGTAAAATATAAAAAAGAGTCTCAATCGCTTGAAGAATTTTCAAAGCATGTCATAACAAATCTACAAAATTGCAAGATATGTAATAAGCGCGTTCCTAACGATTTGGTTTTAGCAGCACACATGGCCGAACATACTAAAGGAAGCAAATTTTATTGTCCATATTGTAATTATAAAACGAACGGCGTAAAATACTTGCGGACCCATTTATTTGGTGTACATTATAAAATCAAAGTGAGTGAAGAAATTGAAAATGGCAGTAATCTCAAAGAAAAGAAAGAGAAACTTGATGTATACACAAATTCTTTTGAATGTGCAGTATGTTTTAAGAGATATCCTTTGAGAAAACAACTGTACCTACATAAGCGGGTACATAAGGTAGAAGAAAAAGAAACAGGGTATAGAGAATCTTTTCCTCCTGGTTCTTTCACCTGTAATTATTGCAAAGTTCAATGCAATACGCGTGAAATAGCAGATGATCACATTGAATCTCACCAAGAAACATGTCAGGAATGCAACCTGTCCTTTCCTAACGCCTTAATTTTAGGTATACATATGACTACTCATTACCAAGACGACACTTTTCACTGTATCCACTGCAATTACAAAACTGTCTTTGTGTCATACTTGAAAAGCCACATATTCGGTACCCATTACAAAATGAAATCATTCAAGTGTCACTCGTGCGATGCCACCTATTGTTCTAAACGTCAACTGAACGAACATGTTCGATCTTGTCACGATCATATGGACCCATATGCTTGTGTAGTTTGCGAAAGAAAATTTACCGTAAAAACCTGTCTTCGAAAACATCAACTTAAGAAACACAGACCTTTCATAGATGACGACATAATTTCAAACTATTGTGTCTTGTGCAATATTGTGTTCGGTTCGAAACGGACACTAGAAAAACACGTTTCTGATAAACATACAAACGAAAAGCCTAAAGTAGCGGAAAAATTCGTATGTGACATTTGCGGAAAGGAAGTTGCCTACAAACAGTCCCTTCAGCTTCATATGAAACGTCACAGCGGTTTGAAGCCGTACAAGTGTAGTTTTTGTCCAAAAACTTTCATTGTAAAAGCTTTAGTGACTCGGCACGAAGAAGTTCATTCCAGTGAAAAAATGTACGCTTGTGATAAATGTCCGAAAAGATTTAGGATGAGGCGAGGTCTGCTAAACCACTTTGTCATTCATAGCGATGTCAAGCCGTACGAATGCTCGAACTGTCACAAACGGTTTAAGAGAAAATTTGAGACCGCATTGCATTTTAAAAATTGCATTCGCCAAAGTAAGTCATAATTTAGCATCGTACTATCGAAATTATGCGTTAACCAAAAAAATTATAACATACAGGATGTGCCAGATATACAGGGTGGCGCCTCTCATACGCCGCGGAGGCACCAAGGAGAACGACAGATTGTATTGAAATGAAATTTTGTGAGCATATGTTGGTTAATTCAGGGCACTTTTTAAAAATATGAAGTTTTACAGGGTGTCCCCAAAAAAAGTTACATATCAAAGTTGTGTTTTTTGTAATGGAATACCCTATATATTAATTGATTTTATAATTAATTGAATACCCTATATTTAATTGATTCGGATTCTGGGATAAAAATAAAGGTAAGTTTTATAAGAGAAGTATTTCAGAAATAAAGAACAATTTTTAAATTACAATAAAAACTACCTAAATTGGAATTTACCCGATATAGCCTAATATGTTGTAACGTTTTATGATACGATACTATTGGCAACCCAACATACACCCTACCGAATTAGTTCTGACTAATTTCGGACACTCTGTTGATCGTACTTGCCCTTGTTGGCGCAGAACTAGAGCATCTTTTTGACTATCGGAAATCACCATTTTTGATTCAGATTTCGTGGCTTAAACATGGACATACTTATCTGAAGTCATCCGAAAAAGTTTATACTTTTTAATTCTATTAACCTTTGGAATGTAGTCCTAATGGTTCCTGGTATTTGGGGAAGGAATCAATTTTAAGTTTTCATGGGTATTTTGGTGGTAAGTTTGATCTTCATCACATTTTTACTCTTTTGGTTCAACCTTATCTCTTTACAGATTTTCTAAACGTGGTTTTGGTTGTCCTGTCATGAGTTTAATTTTTGAGTAAACCCTCAGCATCGTGAGGTAAGTACTAAAATTTCTAAAATGCATTTTGTGCATAAGTTATGTCGTTTCCAGGGTTTTACCGTCCAGTTACATGGCGAGTTATATGTCGTGATTGGTGGTTTGAGGTGCGAGAGCCTATATCTATGATCCATGTTTGATTTCCACATGGCTGGTGATATTGTAAGGGGCTGTTCGAGGCTGTGGTAGATTGGGGATGAGCTCCCACACCTAACGTCCACACACTATCCAGAAGGACAAGCCAAAGCCTGGAATTGCACCGGATAATCAGGCCAGATTTCATATTTTTTTATTAACTCATTTCAAATCTATTTACTTACTGTTGACGAATTACGTAATTAATTATGTAATTATTAGATATTTTTGAATTTCGTTATTAAAATATATTTTTCTTAATTTTAAATATACAATTTTTATATATATATTAATATCTTGTCAAGTATTTTGTGATGGTGTCACTTGGCATATTTATTTAATTAACTTTTGATTGATTTACGGAATTATGTGCGCATACAACAAGGTTCATGAACTGCGTTAGTTTGAGGTACTTATTTAACTTTATTTTGCGTAATTTAATATTAATATGTCAATGATTTTTAATCAACAGTGTAAGAGTCTCAATTTATTTTTCTTTGGTTCAGTGAAAAATAAATAGCCTTACTGGCGTACAGTAGGAAATTTAAATCTCTCGGGCGCCACCTCTGTTATTTATAGTGGAAGAGGACCACGTTTCGCCAATACGGGTAGCTTTTATACAGTGGAGATACCAGGGAGTGTTGAAATGAAAAGAAATAAAACACACAGTCAACTATAACATAACATTAAGGCTTTATTTAATTAATTAACTATATGCTAAATACCCCAGGAAGTTTCACGACTTTAAATTGTAATGAAAGTGGGAAGAAAATTTATAATTAAAGACTCGTAAATAAAATTTACAACAACAATCGAGCACCGAGTTTTGACCGTATAATCTCGATATGCAACTCACTGTCCATTTAATCACGCGAATTCAAAGCGCGTTTTTGACATGACGCTCTAGTAAATAAACGACGCGAGTTTCTAACCGGCGTCTAACTTAACGCGTCCTAGCAAACACAGACATGTACGTACCGGAGCGACACACTCTTCCATAAACCGACCTTCTAAACGTCGGCGACGTCGTTACAGACGTCCCGGGATAAACGAGCCCTGATCGTTCGCAGAACGAAACGGAGTCCTGTGGGATAGGTCACGCGAGCCCTGGATCGTAGAACGAAACGGAGTCCTGTGGGATAGGTACGCACACGAGCCCTGATCGTTCGCAGAACGAAACGGCGTCCTTGTGGGATAATTACGCACCCGAGCCCTGAATCGTCTGCAGTAGAACGAGACGGCGTCCTGTGGGATAGATACGCACGCGAGCCCTGGATCGTTCGCAGTAGAACGAAACGGAGTCCTGTGAGGTACGCACGCGAGCCCTGGATCGTTCGCAGAACGAAACGGAGTCCTGTGGATAGGTACGCACGCGAGCCCTGGATCGTTCGCAGTAGAACGAAACGGCGTCTCGGTTAGTCGTCTGATAAGCACAGTCCATTGTGAAGGTCAGGACCACTTTGGCTGTCGGCGATCCCACGGCGCTCCTGATGAGAATATGGGGAACTACAGAACAGTCTCGGATTTGGGCGAGATCCTGTCTTAGCTCCAAGGATATTCGCGCCCGTATACTGTTGTACTACCTTAACCGCCATCTGCCCCCTTTTAACCAAAAGAAATCACCGCGTCCACGGATCCGGACAAAAATGCCTCAACCTTGCACGTATTTTTTACTTATAGACAGTTGACACCTTGATGGATACAAGTCTGGGTTAAATTTTACGTACGCGCGTTTCGACCAAGATGCCTCTACCTTGCACGTATTTCTTTACTTCCTACAGTAGGACATTAGACACCTGGAGCGAATTTAACTATCTCTATCTCCCTTATTCTATAACGCGTTAAGGCAGTAAAACAAACCGTATTAACAATAAAAGAAACGACCTACTCTCGATCACTCTTTGGCGGCTGGATTTACCTTCTTCAGAGCGGCAACGCGCTGGCAGCAGGGTACTTGGCAGGGCACTCCGACTCGAACTTCACTGTTCACGTGCGATCACCACTTACCTGGCGCCTGCCGCCAGGGCTCAAACGACCCTCCTCCACCTCGACCGGTAACAGGGGCCAGCTTCTCGGCTGCCGTACCGAACTATAGCGAGTAACGCCGATCAAAACTTATTACAATATATGGTTATTAAATATCTAACGCATTTAAATCTAATAATAATTAATTATGTAATTATTAGATATTTAATTAACTTTTGATTGATTTACGGAATTATGTGCGCATACAACAAGGTTCATGAACTGCGTTAGTTTGAGGTACTTATTTAACTTTATTTTGCGTAATTTAATATTAATATGTCAATGATTTTTAATCAACAGAACAAGTGATACTTTTTTTTATGTCATACATTTAAATTTTGATTACTTGTTATTCTTAATTATTAATTAATTTTAAAAACCTAACTTATTCCATCAATTACTGTACTTGTCTAATATTTTTTTAATTATAAATAAGTTTAAGTTGGGATAAAGAGATCTATTATTTCTGAGTGAATGTCCTGGCGCCCAATAATTATTGTTTTATTGATTAATTATAACACCTAATAAAAAATAAAAAACGAACCTACGACTGCTCGCAAAGACGTAAAGCTGCCGTTTGCATTGTGTCAAGAAAACGTTACAATGTAGTTAAATTAACTATTGTATTTTAAATCAAATTAAAACTAGATCCAAAAAGTTATACAGGGTGAGACAAAATTAATATTGAAAATTGGTCACCTTTAAAAGCACTTTATTATTTCATAAAATCTAGGTGGCTGTGATATGTCTGACGTTACTTCAACATAGCTGTCTAATTAGTCCAACTTTAACAACTAGTTATAATTTTGTATCAGTTGAAACAAAAACATATTAATTTTGTCTTACCCTGTAGAACTTTTCGAGTCAAATTTCGATTTGGTTTAACAAACAATGGTTACTGTAATTAAATATCAGGCTATACAAGGTCAACTACAATTTAGGTTATCGAAATTTAAAATTTACTCTTCATTTTCACAAAATGTGATATATGTCGAAGTCCTTAGATTTTAAGTATATGCTTCTTTAATAAAACTCACCTTTATTTTTTTCCTAGAATCCGAAAATCAATTAATATATAGGGTGTTCCATTAGAAAAAACACAACTTTTGTGTGTAACTTTTTTTGGGGACACCCCGTATAATTCTATATATTTTTATAAAAGGCTTTCAGTTAACCTACATATGCTGCCAAAATTTCATTTCGATATAAACTGTCGTTCTCCTTGGAGCTTCCTCGGCATATGAGAGGCGCCACCCTGTACGAAATATATGATAATAATATTGACAGCTGCAGTTGTCGAGATACTGAAACTTATATCAAAAATATTAACATTCGAAAATATATTTTTTTATGTCGAATTGTCTTGAACATACTGTACAAAAAAACCAAAAAAAATAATGAACACCAAAAATGTAGTGCAATGGTATTCATTACCAATTATTTTTCAAATTACTAATTACGAGCCCTAACAACTATATGTTGAGACAAGGTCTTTTTTTGCAATAAAAATAGTAATTTGTTAAAACGTTAATTTTATTTTGTTTATTATTCGAAATTCAAACATTACAATATGATCTAGACAATTTTACTATATTTTTATAACTTTGCAAACAAATCACTTTTGATAATACCTTATTTTGCCAAAATCAAGCCAAATTTGCTGACAACTATACAGGGTTGTTCACCACATGCGACACGGAGTATTGTAGCTAAACGATTATATTTTTACAAATTTCATGTTTTGGGTTCGAATGAAGGACTATTAGAGGTACAATTTAAAAATAATTTACAAGATACAGAGTGTCCCAAATAAGTAAAAAATATCAAAGTTGTATTTTTAAATGGAACACCCTGTATATTATTACATTTTAGTTTCTACGATTAAAATAAAGGTATTTGATTAAGGTTTATTACACTTAAACCTTACCGTCTTTGAAATATTTTCAATTTTGTGAAATTGCAGTAAAAATTTTAAGGCTTCATTTCTCCAAGGGTATCAAAGTTTTTAATACTAAATATTTACTGAAGTTTATTTATTGATCAGTTATTGTGTTGCAATAATAAAAATAATACTACCTTATACAGAGTGTC